CCCTCTCTCTCATCAACTGCGCTCTCTCCTTTTCTCTGGCCTTATCCGTCAGTTATTAGAGAAAATCACTTCTGCTTCCTGTTGTGCAGCGCACACCACAGTTCCTTCTGTTTCTCACTAGCTCCCTCCCCAGTTTAGGTAGGAATTCTTTAGTGATGTATAGAAAAGGCTTAGTAGGTATAGTCACTTTTTCAGAGACTAAGAAAGATTGTTTTTAAACTTTGTTTTATGAAAATATACACGTGTATATAGTAAAAGTAGAAAGAAAAATACTTCTTATTTTGTAGTTGCTTCATTATATATCAACATGTATCAATTTTGTTTTATTTATTACTAGGGGCCCGGTGCACGAAATTTGAGCACAGGTAGGGACAATCAGGCAGGCAGGCAGAGGGGTTAGGGGCAATCAGGCAGGCAGGCAGGTGAGTGGTTAAAAATCAGCTGTCCTGGATTTTGAGAGGCAGACGGACATCCCCCGAGAGGTCCCGGATTGGAGAGGGTACAGGCTGGGCTGAGGGACACGCTCCCCCCATGCATGAATTTTATGTACCAGGCCTCTAGTTGAAATATAATTCACATAACATAAAATTCACCCTTTTAAAGTGTACAATTCATTGGTTTTAGTTTCACAAAATTGTATAGCCATCCTCACTATCTAATTGTAGAACATTTTACCACCCAAAAAATACCCACGCCCATTAGCATTCATTTCCCCTTCTCCCTCCCTCTACCCTCGCTGCCAACGTGAATTTACTGTCTGAATGGATTTCAGTATTCCGGACACTTCATCAATATGAGGCCTTTTACCTCTGTCTTCTCTCGGTCAGCATTGAGAGTTCATGCATGTCCAAGCATGCATCCACATTTCATCCCTTTTTGTGTAATTTCCATTACATTGAATTTTCAGTGTTACAGGATTCTTGCACCACTAGCCCTCGGCCTGGGAAGTCACATAAATAATCATGGTTCCATAGATAGCCTCAAGTATATTAAAACTTGATTCATGTGCATCTGTCATTTCAAAATCTTTTTCAAATGATATAATAAGAGTTAGCATTTTAAATCTGCAGACTTCTGGCACAGTAGGTAGGAGGTATAGTTACGCACTATTCTGTACCTTGCTCTTTTCACTGCTGTGTATAGAGGCCTTCCTCTTTCCTTTTGCACCATTGCATAGTATTCCACTGTGGGGATGAGCCATAGGTGATGCCAGTCCCTATTGGCGGTTCTTTGTTTTACAAATAATATAAAAATAATTGTACATACGGCATGTTGTGTTATCCCAGTACATCCACTTTAGGGTGGATTCCTGGAAGTGGGGTTACTGAATCAAAGGTAGACGAATCTGCAATTTCCCTGGGTACTGGTGACAGCACTTAATCAGTTATCTACTTTGTCTTACAATTTAGCAAAAGCAGGGAGCCTTCTCCAATTCCAAATATAGACAAATTTTAAGTTTTTAAAAAGATAATTGGGAATTCTAGGTCCATATGCTAGGTCAGATATGCTAAACTGGATATCACATGTAATCACATGCATAGTCATGCTTTGCATAATTAAATTTATTTTTAGGCCTAGTGGAAAGTTTTACTTCTCAAATGCTGCACATTGAGTTGTTACTATAAACTCAAAGGGTTTCTTGATCTTAGATCATAACTTGATATCAATGTCATAATAGGCATTGATCGATTTGACCAGCTATGCTCGAATGTCCATATTTGTATCAACGTCATTTTGAACATGTATTCTCATGGACAGTGCTTTTTGAAATCTGGTTCCTCCAGTCTACCACTTAGAAAGGTGAGAAGCATGTTCCCTTCAGGCCTGCTTGTGCATGATTTAGACCTGACATCCGGAGCACCTCAGAGCCAGAGGTGGCCGCCCTCAACCATGGAGTCGGCTGCAGGGATTTTGCTCCGGGCAGTGTGCAGGGACATTCTGCATGCCCAGTCCCTGCTGGCCCAGTGCCACACCTGTGCCCGGGTCTCCAGCTCCCCGATCTCCTCACCTCCCCGTCCCCTGGGCCTGTCCACTTCCGCCTCAGACTCTTCTCCTTTCACTTCCTGTGGGTTGGCGAGTCAGAGAACCCACCAGAGTGTTGCTTTTCAGAGCCCGTTCTCTCATGAGTTCGTACCATAGACCTCCGAGCGGGAGGAGATGCCCATGGAGCACTTCCAGACTGAAGCCCCGACTTGATGGGTTAGGAAAAAGGGCCCGGGGTCCTCCCTGTGGTCACTGCCCATCGGGGTGTGCTAGGCACCCCGGACCCGAAGGGACAAAATGTGGGAGTGACTCAGAGATGGCAACGTCACGCCTTTTCTTTGAAACAGGGATGTGTTACCGGAATTTATTTATTTATTTATTTATATATATATTTTATTGATTTTTACAGAGAGGAAGAGAGAGGGATAGAGAGCTAGAAATGTCGATGAGAGAGAAACATCGACCAGCTGCCTCTTGCACACCCCCTACCGGGGGGATGTGCCCGCAACCAAGGTACATGCCCTTGACCGGAATCGAACCTGGGATCTTTCAGTCCGCAGACCGATGCTCTACCACTGAGCCAAACCGGCTTCGGCTGTTACCGGAATTTAATGCAGCCTGGTCCACAGACACATGTTGACTACCTCCAGGGTCGGGGGTCTCACAGGTGCCACTTCCCGGAGCCTCCAGTCCAGAGAGCCAGCCAAGACCCAGGGGACTGACTGCGAGGGGCATTTGCCTCTCCTCCCCCTTCAGCCATTTCCTCAGGCACTTACGGGCACGCCTGTGGACTCAGGCGTTTATGTTAAACCTGGGGCCACAGTCCAATGCAGCTTTATTGCGTTGCTCACATTGTCCCAGCTCTGGCCGTCAGGAGCTGTCCGTTGGCTCCTGCCTCCCTTTGACTGTCTTTCATTGTAGAATGATATTAGAAACCGAGGTTTGGGCCCTGGATGTCCCTGCTTTCAGCTCTCAGCAGACAGAGCTGGGAAATCCATGTGTTTATACCAGCCTGTGTACACACGCGTGTCTACGATTTTGTATCTGTAGCTCTATCCAGCTAGACGTGGCTTCCTCCCACGCCTCCTGTCTGTCTGCCCCACCACCACCTGCTCCTTCCAGCCTGCCCCTGCTGGCCTTTACCGCCCTCTCAGACTGCGAGAAGCCTGCCTCCAGCCGTCCTCCATGCATTTGCTCACTTGTTCCATCCAGTGTTTATGTACAGTGTTTCAGAGTTGTGCCCCCATGGAGAGCAGCTTGACTAAGTAGAACCCAGGGCTCCAGGCAGTTACTTCCGTGATCTCACAGCCTCCACTCACTCCCAGAATCGCTGGTCAGCACCTTTCCTCTGCACTCCCATCTCGGAGGCTGGAACGTGTCTTTGTAGTAAGTTAGATTCTTTTGTCCCATCCTGGAGTTCCCCATCTCCTAAGTGATTTTATTTGCATGCATTCCCGGTCATGCTAGGCTTTGACAAACGCATAGTGTCGCCTTTCACCACCACAGTAGTCTTCAGAATAGTTTGACCACCCTAGAAAGTCTCTGATGCTTTGCCTGGCCAACTCCTCCCCTCACCGTCACCACCGATAAACTCTGGCAACCCCCAAGCTGGTCTTGGTCCCCGTAGGTTTGCCTTTTATAGAACGTCATGTGAGGCTACAATCTGTAGCCTTTCAGACCGGCTCCTTTCACTTAGCGACATAGAAATAGGGCTCATCCAGCTGAAACCGGTTTGGCTCAGTGGTAGAACGTCGGTCTGCGGACTGAAAGGTCCCAGGTTTGATTCCCGTCAAGGGCATATACATTGGTTGCGGGCACGGCCCAGGTAGGGGGTGTGCAAGAGGCAGCTGGTCGATGTTTCTCTCTCATCGACGTTTCTAGCTCTCTATCCCTCTCCCTTCCTCTCTGTAAAAAAAAAAAATCAATAAAATATATTTTAAAAAAAATAAGGCTCATCCGTGTTGCCTATGGACGGGCTCATTGCCCTTTTTGCCGAGTCATATGCCATTGTATGGACATACCAGAGTTTGTTTATCCACTCACCAGTGGGAGGATAGCTTGGTTGCTTCTGGTTGTTGACAGTTATGAATAAAGCTGCTGTAAATATTAAATGCAGGTTTATATAGACATAAGTTTTCCGATCATTGGGTAAATACCTCGTGTCACTCAATCGCTGGATTGTCTAGTGAAGCTATATACAGCAGCCGCCAGACTGTCTCCCGCGGTGCCTGCACTTCTGCATCCCACCAGCAAGGCCGAGTTCCTGCGGCTCAGTGCCTGGCCAGCAGTTGGTGTTTTGTCTGTTTTCTGGAGTTTGGCCATCCTAATAGGTGTTTAGAGATATCTCATTATTGTTTTAATTTGCATTTCCCTACTGACAAAAGATGCTAAGCATCTTTTCATATGCTTATTTGCCATCTGTGCATCTTCTTTGGTGAGGGGTCTGTTCAGATCTTTCGCCTTTTTTTTTTTTTTTTAAATGGGCTGTTCGTTTGCTTACTGTTGTTTTTAGATGTGTTGGTTTGTTGTTTTGTTTTTAATATTCTGTGTACAGATCCTTTATCAGTTATGCGGTTTGCCAATATTTTCTCCGAGGATGTGACTTCTCTTTTTATCCTCTTCACAATGTCTTTCACAGAGCGAAAATTTTTATAATGTTAATGAAGTCCTAGCTACTGATTTTTTCTTTATGGATTGCCCATTTGGTGTTGTATCTAAAAAAAAAAAAGTCATCTCCAGACCCAGGTCGCATTTCTCCCATGTTTTCATCTAGAAGTTGTATAGCTTGGCCTTTTACACTTAGCTCTGCGGTCCGTTTTGAGTGTGTTTCTGAATAAGGTGTGGGGTTGGTGTCTGGGTGCTGTGTTCCAGCACCACTTGTTAAAAATAAAAATCCCCAGTGAGTTGCCTTTGTCCCTTGGTTCATTTTTGCTCGCATTGGTAAACATCGGTTCCTTTCTTAAGGAGTTACCTTGACACTGGGCCCGTTCTGATTTCCTTCTCTGCTTGTCTTACAGCAAGACCCCTGGTGCAGACCTTGCCTCTAAGAACCACCGTCAACAACGGAACCGTGTTACCAAAGAAGCCTAGTGGCTCTCTGCCGTCCCCCTCCGGGACCAGGAAAGAAACTGCTATGCCGGCAATAACCAAAAGGTAGGCACAGAGTGACTTACAGAAAGTCTAAAAGCAGATCCATCTCAGGTGTTTATTTTATTTATTTTTTCTAAATCAATTTTATTGATTTTCCACAGAGAGGAAGGGAGAGGGATAGAAATGTCAATGAGAGAGAAACATCGACCAGCTGCCTCCTGCACACCCCCTACTGGGGATGTGCCCGCAACCAATGTACATGCCCTTGACTGGAATCGAACCCGGGACCACGACGCTCTATCTGCTGAGCCAAACCAGTTTCGGCGATCTCAGGTGTTTAAATATGTATTCCTGCCCTAAGCTGTTTGGCTCAGCGGATAGAGCGTGGGCCTTCGGACTGTAGGGTCCCAGGTTCTATTCCAGTGAAGGGCGGGCTTAATCTCCAGTAGGGAGCATACAATAGGCAGCTAATCAGGATTCTTTCTCATCATTGATTTTTCTATCTCTCTTTCCCTTTCCCTTCCTCTCTGAAATCTATAAAAAAAAATTTTTTTTAAAGGCTATCTTTTGAAAAATATTCTTGTTTTTATATGACACTTTACAATTTCTCCTCTGATTAAAGCTTTTGGAAGTATAATATTTGGTGTGTTGCCGTAACAGAAATCATATAGATTTATTATTCTGCTTTTTAAAATTTCATCACTTTTTTTGCTACCTGCCTAGCAGTTAGGCATTTATACAGTTTATGAAATGTTCCCCTGATAAGCCCAATACCCAGCTGGTTCCATACATAATCATTACCATGTTACTGACTCTATTCCCTGTGCTGTATTTCACATCCCTGTAAAATTTAATCATAGTACCTTTGAAAAACCCATTAGCTAAAACCACACTGTCCCGTCTTGTATTTTTTTTCTTACAGTTCTCTTTTTTGGGGGGGAAATGGGGAATAACCCAGGTAAAAAGTAAAATGCTGTTCCCAGCTCTACACTTGGCACATGGCAAAATTCAGGTTACCACAACCTTATTGTTACAGTCCACCTTCATTCTTTTGCATGTAGATAGCCAATTTTCCATGTGCCATTTGTTGAAAAGACTGTCCTTTTCCCCTTGTGTAGTCCTGCCATCTTTGCCAAAAGTCATTTGGCCGTATGCACAATGGTTTATTTCTGAGCTCTCTGTTTTCTCCCATTGGTCTGTATTATCTGTCTTTATGCCAATAAAGATACCACAGCAATTTGATTACTGTTATTTTGTAGTATATTTTGAAGTCAGGAAGTGTAAGGCCTCTAACTTCATTCCTTTTCAAGTTTATTTTGGCTGTTTGAGGTCCCCTGAGATTTCTTATGAATTTTACAATTTTTTTCCTGTTTTTACCAAAAACATGCCATTGAGATTTTGATAGGGATTATACTGACTCTGTAGATTACTTTGGGTGGGATAGACATCTTAACAGTAGTAAGAGTTCTAATCCACGAATATGGGATGTGCTTCCATTTATCATCTTTCAATTTTTTTTAGAAATGTTTTGTTATTTTCTTTATTTTTTATTGAATTTATTGGGGTGATACTGGTTAATAAAATTATATAGGTTTCAGGTGTACAATGCTATAATACACCATCTATATAGTGAGTTGTGTGTTCACCACCCCAAGTCAAGTCTCCTTCCATCACCAATTATTCCCTCTTTACCCTCTTCTACCTCTTCCTTGGTTAAATTTTTATTAAGTATTTTATTCTTTTTGATGCTATAACAAATATTGTTTTCTTAATTTCCTTTTTGGATTAGCTGTTGTTAGTGTATAGACATGCAACTGATTTTTGTGTATTGATTTTTCTATCTGTAACTTCACTGAAATTGTTTATTCGTTTTAAATTTTTTGTGTGTGGAATCTTTCGTGTTTTTTACATGTAAGGTTATGTTCTCTGCAAACAGGTAATTTTATGTCATCCTTTTTAATTTAGATCCCTTTAATTCGTTTTTCTTGTCTAATTGCACTGGTTGGACCTCCAGGGCTGTGCGGAGTAGTGGTGGGGACAGTGGGTCTCCTTGCTTTGTTCCTGTCCTCAGAAGGAAAACTCTGTCTTTCAGCACTGAATATGACGTGAGTGGTGGGCTTCTCGCAGATTGCTCTCACTATGTTATGGTATTTTCCTTCTATGCTAGCTTATCGAGTATTTTTCATATAAAAGGATGTTGAATTTTGCCAAGTACTTTTTCTGTATCAATCAAGACAAACATTTGGTATTTGTCCTTCATTCTGTTAATGCTGTGTATTACATTGATTGCTTTTCATAGGCCAATCCTTGCTTTCCAAATGTGAGTCCCACTTGGTCATGGTATAATATATATAATTATTTTAAGTACTATTCAATTCAGTTTGGTCTTAATTTGTTGCGGATTTTTGCATCCCTGTTCATCAGGAATATCAGTCTGTGTAATATTTCTTGTGTCTTTGTTTGGTTTTGGTATCAGAATACCGCTGCCCTCATAGAATGAAATTGGAAACGCCCCTCCTCCCCCGCCCCCTTCAATTCTTTGGAAGAGTTTGGAGAGGACTGGTATTAATTCCTCTTTAAATATTTGGTGGAATCCTTTAGTGAGGCCATCTGGCCCTGGGCTTTACTTTGTTGTCAGAGTTTTGATTACTGCTTCCATGTCCTCCCAGTCATAGATGTGTTCAGAATTTTTATTTGTTTATGATTCCGTCTCAGTAGGTTGCATGTATTGAAGAATTTGTCCATTTCCTCTAGGTTAGCAGTTTGTTGGCATATATTTGTTCACAGTAGTCTCTTATAGTCCTTTTTCTTTCTGTGATAACTTTTATTTCTCACTTTAGTTGTGTCTTCTCTCTTTTCCTTAATCAAGCTAAGGATTTGTAAGTTTGTTGAACTTTTTAAAAAAAATTCTTGATTTCACTGATTTTGTTTTTCTATTCTCTATTTTATTTATCTCTGCTGTACTCCTTATTATCTCCTTACTTTTGCTAACTTTTGTGTTTTTCTATTTCTAATTGCTTGTGGTTTAAAATTAGGTTGTTGATTTGAGATCCTTTTTCTTTTTAGTGTAAGTGGTTATGGCTATAAATTTTCCTCTTAATACTGCTTTTTTCTCATCCCATAAGTTTTACAATAGTATGTTTTGTTTTTTATTTCTGTTTGTCTGCAGATATTTTCTAAGTTCTATACTGATGTCTTCTTTGACCCATGAGTTGTTGAAGAGTGAGTTGTTTAATCTTTAGATCGACTCTTTTAAAGAGCAAATAGTTAATGGGCAGGGAAGAAAAATGAGATTCCCTTTTTTCTTGAAGAAAATGTAATTTTATAATTTATGCCTCTTTTATATACTTGAAACTTAAAAGAAATTCTTTTCAGAGCTTAAAAATAAAAGTATAAGTAATTATCTAGCTGCCAATTAGAAATGCATAGTTTTCTAAGTTTGAGTGTCCAAGATGCTTGGTTTCTGTGTCGAGTGTAGGGATATGTTTTTTCTCTGGCTTTTCCGGCTTCTGTGGGGGTGTGTTCCCATCGTTTGGGAGTTGGAAACCCAAGCAGTAGCGTCTGATGGTTACTCCATGTTTGTAAAGTTCTTACAGTCTCTCATTAGGAGAGAATTTTGGAAACAAAGGGGGGGGGGGGGGAAATCGGGCATTGTAAATATTAGGATTTAAAACAACTTCCAAGCACTTCAAATATGTTTACAAGCGTGTAGAAATGTTCCTGTCATCGGACTTCCAAATGAACCGAGCTGGAGCATCTGTGGTGCGCGGATGGGTCTGTTTATTTTCTTTCCTGGGGGCTCAGCCCAGCGCTAAAGAACAAAATCCGCTGGAAACGGTCCAGGACCCAGTGGTTGTGCTTTGTGTTGTCAATTAAGACTTGGACGGAGGGCTGGATCTGGCCTCCTTGGGAAAAAGCTTTGTTTCCATTCGTCAAAGGGAAAAAGACAGGAGATCCGGGAAGATGTTGTAGGTCACACCTTGCTCGGTGGGAGCGCCGGAGCTGACAATGGAGTAACACTTCCGTGGGCTCAACGCAGACATCCCTCGTTCTTCCCACTCCTAAGCGGGGTTTGACAACGGGGCGGCGCTGTGAGGGCAGAGACGGAGAGAACAAAGCTGGTGCAGACACAGAGCATTATTTTAAAATCACTCCGCTCGGGGTGGAAGGCAGGACGGTCACGGGCAGCTGATGGTCCTCAGGAAAGGTGGTCGCACTTGTTAGAAATGCACCTTTTATAGATGCCAAAGCCGTGCACTTACAGAATAGAAAAACAAAATCTGCTGTTTGTTTTTAAATGTTCACTTCTAATATTCTTATCCTTGAGGTGCATTGACATGTGGTGTTAAATTCGTGCTCTGAGTCTGTTCTCGCAGCAGAATAGAGATGGCAATAGTCTCCTGTCAGCAGAGGAAGGCCAGTGGCTCCTGCCCTTTATCCGGAGTGAGCCTGTCCCCTCTCTGGCTCAGGCAGGTGGCTACCTGTGGCAGAAAACCCCCACACACTTCCTTTGATCTGTTGAGTCTCCGAGAACACCAGCCTTCTTTTTGCTGTAGTTGTCATCGTTAATCCTTACCAGAGGATATTTTTGCATTGATTTTTTTTTTTTTAAGAGACAGTGGGAGGAAGAGCGAGAGACAGAGAGAGAAACATCGATGTGAGACATCATCGATTGGTTGCCTGCCGCATGCAACCCAACCTGGGTCAGGGATTGAGCCTGCAACCGAGGCACGTGCCCTTGTCCTGAATCAAACCCAGGGTCTTCCAATCCACAAGCCGATGCTCTATCCACAGAGCTAAACCGGCTAGGGCAAGACCACCAGGCTTCTTAGAAAACCACTTGATTTTCGCCACAAAGTTATGTCTTGACAGTGAGAGAGAGAGCTGTTCTTATTCTTTTTTTTTAATATATTTTATTGATTTTTTACAGAGAGGAAGGGAGAGAGATAGAGAGCTAGAAACGTCGATGAGAGAGAAACATCGACCAGCTGCCTCTTGCACACCCCCTACAGGGGATGTGGCCGCAACCAATGAACATGCCCTTGACCGGAATCAAACCTGGGACCTTTCAGTCCACAGACCGACGCTCTACCACTGAGCCACACCAGCTTCGGCAATAGAGCTGTTCTTAATCATTGGAGGAGTGACCTCAGACAGTCAGCTTTAGCTCAGGCTTTTTTTTTTTTTTTTTTTTTCTTTTGTTTGGCATTTTTTAAAATGTGTTTTTTATTGATTCAAGCCCACAACCCAAGCATGTGCCCTTGTTCGGAATTGAACCCAGGACCCTTCTGTCTGCAGGCCAACGCTCTGTCCACTAAGCCAAACCGATGAGGGCATTGCTCAGACTTTATAGGACAAAAGCCATGCTATGGCCCCACGCAGACTCCCCAGTGCCCAGCATGGCGCCAGGATAAGGCCGGTGCCTGGTAAAGGTTTGCTGAGTGGATGATCCTGTTAATCCAGGGTTAGTGCTGAGGCCGCCATGACACGGACAGAGAATCTCTGGGCTTGCATGATAGCTACCTGTTAGATTCTGGTTTTTCTGCTGGGAAAAATGTGGGTCATTTTGCAAAAGTTTGTAAAACCAGTTCCCAGATCCGAGTCACACATACATAAAGACATAATGATAGCTTGTTATGTTTAGGGTTATCTGATCTTAAGAAAAAAGATTGCCACTTTTTTTCTGGTCACCAACTTCCCTGGCGGAAATTTCATTAAGTTGGCAAAAACGTCCGGAGAGCTGTTATCTTTTCAGAACTTCGGTGTTTATATTGGAAAAGGAAGAAAGGATGGCATCTGCGTATCTCCGCACCAGAAAGCCTTTCCATGTCGTAGGCACTGAAAAGATGCCTGTGCCTCAGGCCAGCACCCCTGCGCCTCTGGGAATAAAGGGCCTTCTTCCCACTCTCTGTCCGGAGGGAGCACAGCCGGCTGCTCACAGAGGCGCCTCCTAGTGAGGACACAGGATCACTCCCTCTGGCTGCCCCGGTTCCTGCAAATGTCCTGTCTTCCAGCTTTATTTTCTGTCGTTCACTCTGGGTCCGTGTAAATCCTTGCATTCCTAAGAGCTCTTGGCTCTCGCAAGGAAATGTCTTGTTTCTCCCATGCATACAACAGTGGTAGGTTAAAAACATAAAAGCTGACATTTTAATGCATAAGTGTGAAGTTCAAGTACTCAGAAAGAGTTGTGGTGGATTATAGCCACGTCTGTATATGCAAACCGCGTGTTTTTCCATTCCAGCGTGTGGTGTGAGTTCTGCGATTTATGGAAGCTCACCGAGCTCTCTCCAGCCCTGATCATGGCACTCACGTTTATTCCGCTTTGTTTCTGCACCCCTCTGCATAGATTAAACGGGTCTGTGAGTCTCCTCAGTGTAGGCAAACTGAGTAGATACCACCCAGGGGAGGGCCACTCAGCTGTTCTTGGTAACCCTGGCTGCCTCCCAGTAACCTCAGCTCCCTTTTTAAATGTGGATAGATGGATGGATGGATGGATGCATGGATGGATGCATGGATGGATGGATGGATGGATAGATTGCAGAGAGTGATAGAAACATCAATGATGAGAGAGAATCATTGAATGGTTGCCTCCTTCACACCCCCTGAGGGGGATCGAGCCCGTAACCCAGCATGTGCCCTGACTGGGAATTGAACCTCCTGGTTTGTAGGCCAACACTCAACCACTGAGCACACCGGCCGGGCTCAGCTCCCTGTTGGACGGTAGCTGAGAGATCTTCGCCAGTGCCTCCCGTTCATCAGGTCTCAGGTGATGTAGCTCAGCAGGTCCTCGGCCCCTGTGCCAGGCTCTCATGGACTGCAGGGCTCGGGGGAGAGAGTAGGGGGTGAAGGCTCTGTGCCCGAATCCGTCCCCTCACCTGTGAAATGGGGTGGTGATGCTTCTGCAGGGGCTTTGTGAGGTTTGAATCAGGTGACAGGTAAAAGGCAGGGTCCTTAATATACACAGATTATGATGATCTCTGAACGCATCATAATCTGGCCACTCAGGGTACTTCTCTTGATGTCAATGATACTACAAATCGTGCACCTGATCAGTTTTCCCCTTTGCACTGGCTGATAGAAAGCTCAGGGCGAATAGGTGGTTGATCCCCAACAAAAGCCTAGAATACTTCTGGTTCCCATTGGAGACACAGGTACACTGAGTGGCCAGATTGTTATGCGTTCAGAAATCATCATCATCTGGCCACTCAGTGTGTGTCACCTGTTGCTGCCGCTCGGGTTTCCATCATTAATATCCCCGTTAACGCTCCCAGTTACCAGAAAATCGGGGTTTCAGCTCTTTGAGGGTGTTTTTATGCAAGCCTTTATTTACTTATTTCCCCCCAGCACCGTCTTTGTTCCAAGGCTCCTCAGGGACCATTTGAACTGGGAGGGACCTTAGGGGCCGTCACCACTCTCTCCGCTTTGCAAATCAGAAGAGCCATCTGTGACAGGGGCGGAGGGCAGGGATTTGAAGCTCAGATTTGCCCAATGAGCATCTGTTCTCCAGGCATTTTCCAGGGCATTTCATCCCATGGAGAGGTTGAATTTTTTGTTTTACTCTTTTGAGTGAGGAAGCTGAGACTAGAGTTCAGGAACCTGTCCAAGGTCAAGGCCCCCGGCTCATCAGTGCTGCCATGCGGGCTTGCAGGGAGCCAGCCTGTCCCCTCGCCGCTGAGAGACGCAGCCGTACAGCAGCGACAGCCAGCGATCAGGGGGCTCTGCCGCCACCCTGCCCGGCGGCCCCCGGTGCTGCCGGTCTCTTGCTTTGTTTGTGTTGAATTTATTGAGGTGGCTTTGGCGAACACGGCTCCATAGGCTTCAGGTGTGCGATTCTATAAATCGTCGCCTGTATATCATACTGGGTCTCACCACCCCAAGTCAGGTCTCCTTCCATCACCATTTCTCCCCGCCCCCACCCCCCTATAAATTGCCGTGAACTTGCCGTGAACTCCCACAGGCCCTGCGGAGGCTGCCTCCCTGCCTCCCGGGGCCTAGGGCCTCCCACGGGATGATTGGCACGGAAGGGCCCCTGACGTCACATCAGCTTGTGCTTTTCCTCATTGAAAGGTCTTCAACTTGAAGCACAAAGGCTTCTGTAATTTTAAGATGTCAACCCCCACGTCTCAGAAATGTCATGCTCTCCCTAAGATCTGTAATTTCCTTGTCCCCAAATTGCGCGTCCTAAAAATTCCCCGTGCTCTGCGGGAGGTGCCGGCTGCGCCCTCAGAGCTTCCTCCGCCCCAGCAGGGCCCACGGGGAGCACTCAGACCCGTGCTGGGCTCGTTTTAGCTCTGTTTGCTCACGCAGAGAGCGAGTGGGTTCTCAAACCCTGGTACACGGTGCGATTTTTAGAAACATGCTGAGGTGCCTCACGGAAGGATGTCATCAAGGGAGGAGGACTGCACCGTGCCCGCAGGGCCCCGGGGCAGAGTCGGGAGTTGAGCACCCGGGCTGATCTGAAGCTGCTCCCGGACAGGTGGCCCCGTCACGCCCTGGAGGTCCCTCCCCTGTGCTGTGTGTTCTTCCTCTCCGTGTCCTCTGTGCCTGTGAACGCCTCTCATTGCCAAGGTCACAAAACACGGAGCAGAGGCAGAGTCCAGGCCACGTTCTCTACGGTCAGGGCGTGGGGAGCGACCTGTCCCTCGCACACCCACGTGGGGACGGGTGTCCTGGGCGCGTTTTTTCACACTGGGCCGTGAAGAAGGCCCGGCGAGGCTCTCACTGTCCCCTCCCCTCCCCTCAGCACCATCAAGAGGACCAGCTCTTCGGAACGCGTGTCCCCCGGCAGCCGGAGGGAAAGCTACGGGGACTCCAAAGGCAACCGCAACCGCACGGGCTCCACCAGCAGCTCCTCCAGCGGCAAGAAGAACAGCGAAAGGTACGGCCGCCCGCTGGTGCCTGTCTCCCCCGAGAGGAGCAGGGACCCCTGCCAGCACCCGGGCCAGGGCCCTCGAGGGCGCCGAGGCCTCTCCCGAGGTCACGGCCCCGGCAGTTCCTGTCCGGGTGGGAATTCCTGAGAAGCTGTTACCACAGCTCATGGAACTGGGGGGCTGGTCCGCTCTGTGCCTGTAGCGCACCCTGAGAGGTGGTGTGAGAGCAGTATTGTCTCCGGTCGGGGGGGTGAAAGTTGAACTTTTATGATTTGTCAGGAACCGTCTGCAATACTGAAACCATCTGCAAGACTAAGGCCGGAAGCAGTCTGATTTGTTTTATTGACTGGTTTCAGGAAATATGATTACTCCTCATTTCGAATTTTCCTTTGAGGTTAGTGTATAACGGATTAGGACAAATATCTATGAAACGAATAGAAGCATTTTGCGAGTGAGAGCTCATTTTGGGCATGTTAATGGCTCTTCATGTTGAAGAATGTATCTTATAGATGAGACCCCTTTCTCTGTGTTTATTGGCTTAATGTCCTTGGATCTGCCTTCTTAAACATGGCGCTTTTTTTTTTTTTTAATCAATCTTTATTGTTCATATTATTACAAAGGTTCCTCGTTTCTTCCCCCCTCCACCAGGTTCCCACCCCACCCTCTGCCCCCTCATCCTCATCCATTGGTGCACAGTTTATGTTCAGTCTCTTCCTCCCTCCCTTTCCCCGATAGTAAATCCCTTTTCAGATAGCAAATCTGTTACTTAGCATTTTCTCATATCAATAATACCTCCACATGCCCAACGATACACTTCACACAAAAGACATTTCCAAATAGGTCAACCAGCCTCATCCAGGCCCCACCCAAGGCACTCACAGGTCAACACCCCAGCACTATACTAACTCAACACATCCAGATATAAGCCTTCATCACTTGATTCAGCAGACCCTCAAGTTCCCGCAAAAGTTTCCAGCCATGTCTGAGAGGCAGCCGTGGGGCAGGGGCAGGTGAGGATCGAGCTGTTTCGGGCCAGGCTGCTCCGGGCCTGTGGTGCTTTATTTTTATTCTCTCCGTTGAGCAAGGTTTAGGGAGGAATTTCAGCTTCAGAGGCAAAAAACTCTTTGTTTTCGCAAGTGCTCATGTAAGGAAAAAGCTTAGTCATCAAGCTGTGAGCTCCAGCCCACAGTCTGTAAAAGCCCGAGTGTGTAAATCCGTCTGATGCAGGCCTGTAAGGGCAGCTTCCCCCGTTCCCGTCTCATCTCTGAGAGCTTCTGCGGAAGAGAAGCAGGCACTTCTCACATCCTCAGTAGGTCAAGTTCATGGCCGATTAACAGTCTCTCCAAACGACCGACACGGGTTCTGCTTCTCAGGAAGACTATTAGTGCTTCTTACCAGAGATTATGTTAATTGGGTGATAACACCCTGGAAATGAGGCCAAGTGGTCACAATGGCGACCGAGGCGAGTCCAGCGCGCTCAGTGGCCTGCGGGCGCCTCTGAGTTGGGGGGGACGGTGGGGAGCTCGCACATTGCCTTGAAAGGTCCGGGTTTGGCATCTGTGGAAACCTTGGCCCCTTCTCTGCACATCTGCATTTTATTAAGACTTTCCAAAAGGAGTCTGTATTGTGCAAACTCCAGATCGGATCTATCTTTTAAATCCTATGGCTTTGGTGAATATGCTGGGTAAACATTTCCATAAAAGGTATTTTAAAAGGGATTTTTTTTTTCCCCAAAAAAAATAAAGGCCACAGTAAGACATTTTCATTTGGAAATGAGGGTCTTAGTGGATTTACTAGTCATGTTCTCAAAATAATGTAAGCAACCGAATGTGTCCATTTAAAGATAATTCCGTCCCGGTAGCACCTCCACTCCACGTAGGTCGCACTGGAGCGGCTGCCAGGGGGACACTGTGCTCGGAGGGTCATGCCCCGGGCTGGGTGTTCTCCTGTTTCTTATAAATGTGTGCGACTCAGGGGCATTGGATATAAAATACCTGCTTCACAGAGGCAGGCGCCAAGGCCTGGAGACGGTGAGCGGCAGCGCTGACCTACCAACCCAGACCCTTCCTTCCCTCCAGAGCCCGTGCCCTTTCCTTATGTCTGCTGCCGGCAGGAACCAAACAGGACATTCTTTTTTTTAATATATACATTTTATTGATTTTTTTAGAGAGGAAGGGAGACAGAGAGTTAGAAACATCAATGAGAGAGAAACATCGATCAGCTGCTTCCTGCACACCTACTGGGGATGTGCCTGCAACCAACGTACATGCCCCTGACCGGAATCAAATCTGGGACCTTCAGTCTGCTGGCCGATGCTTTATCCACTGAGCCAAACCAGTTAGGGCAAAAACAGGACATCCTTTTCAAAAGTGAGACCTCATCCCAGAACCGCGGGCAAATATTAGTGAGTGATGGGCAGGAGACCACGAAATCCGAGTGGTTAGGTGGGAATCGAGTGTGGTAAATCCTCGCGGTTCCTGAGGCCATTAATGTCACATTAGAATGAGCCGGTCTGTGTTCAGGGAACTACATCAGACCAAGAAAGACAAATACTGTATGATTTCACTTATATTTGGCATCTAAAAAAAAATAATAATTAAAAAAAAACACACACACACACAAACAAAACAAAACAAACATGAAAATGAATAACAAAACAGAAACAGACCCATAGAGAGAACAAGCTGATGGTTGTCAGAGGTTGGGAAGAGTGACATAAGGTGAACTTAAAAAAAAAAAAAAAAGAAACCAAGATGCCTTGACATTGGGCTTAGGGTGCCAGTCCTTTAAGCCAGGCTTTGACAACAGAAAATGAAGCAAAAGAAAATAGGTCACATATACTAAATGCTCAAAATTCAGACTGGCTTTAGCCTGATCCTCAACACTGGGGCAGCTGGAAGACTGTATATTTAAAAAAAAACAAAAAAAAAACGGGGCGGGCTGAAACCAGTTTGGCTCAGTGGATAGAGCGTCAGTCTGCGGACTGAAAGGTCCCAGGTTCGATTCCTGTCAGGGGCATGTACGTTGGTTGCGGGCACATCCCCCGTAGGGGGTGTGCAAGAGGCAGCTGTTCAATGTTTCTCTCTCATCGATGTTTCTAGCTTTCTATCTCTCTCCCTTCCTTTCTGTAAGAAAATCAATAAAATATATTTTTAAAAAAAAAACGAGGGCGGGAAAGGTGAGGGGAGATGAGCTGGTCTGTGGGTCTGATGATTCAGGACGCTCGTCAGAATGCAGGGGGCTGAGGTGATGCTCTCAGAAGGAGAATCTGGGTCTGCCCGGATCTCTAGGACAAACTGGCGCTGCTTCAGCTGGCATCAGTCACTGGTCAGTTACTGTAAAGCTCACGGTCTCCACACGCCGTATGCAAGCTGTCGTCAGCACGTGTGACACTTTTGCAAAATTAGAAAAAGACTCCTTTTACTTGAGAAAAAGGAAGCTTTTTTGCACATCAAGTGTATATAATTCTCAATAACAATGAACACAGCAAGTCAAAAGCAGACCCATATCAATTGTGCAAATCTTACTGTTGAACCTAAAATCATAGTGTTCTTGAGATCTCAACATTCACATTTTCTAAGATGTAATTCATTTTAAAATCGTTCCATTTTGCTTTCACAGACACTCTATGATTTGTGATAGTGTTTGTCTTCTTATTCCTGTTTCTCATTCTCTTGGGAAATGGGCACTGGATTTGACAACGTTCCATGTGACATTGTAGACTTTTATCTTAGAACTAGAATTTCGTGCACTCAGACTGCGAGAGAGCACAGGCCGAGGGAGCCCACCAGTGCAGGATCGGGGTCAGGGAGAGACATGGGAGGGCTCCCGGGCGTGTCTGACCCATCTTGCTCAGTACTGATGGGCAGGACCCCAGCAGCAACCTACCGATTGGAGCATCTGCCCCCAGGTGGTCGGTGCACATCATAGCAAGCAGTTGAGAGGCCTTAGCATATCATTAGTATATTACACTTTGATTGGATGAACAGACGGCCAGACACTTAGCATATTAGGCTTTTATTATATAGGATGGTTAACGTTTTTATAATACTTGGCAGTAACAAGCCACAAAAGTTTAGTAGCACTTAATCTTGGCACTGACAAAACTTCCAGAAAAACAATAGCAGTATATAGCAATGTAATATTTTCTTTATATATTATTGATGGCAATAAATACTAACAATCCCTACTCATGTCACAGTGAAGTGCTTATTAAATTTAAATAGGGAATTGACAGTAACATCCTTATGAACAACCTGGACTATCTAATGTAGCCAGTATATCAATCCAATAGGATTTTTTTTTAAAGTATTTTATTTCAGACAGAAGAAGTTACTATTTAGAATGCACAATTTATGTTAGATATTAGACTGATAAATTGTTTCAATTATAAAACTGGTTCCCTCTTTATATTTCTACTGGGAATGAGATGTAGCAACTTAAAAAAATACTTTGTTTCCATCAAAAAGCTATTCTAATGGCTTGATTTTAAGAAATGTTTCAACCATCTGCTAGAAACCTTGTTGTAACAAACATATAAGCTGTTCTTCTTTGGAGCCAACATATATGAAAAAAAAAACGAACTTCAAAATAATGAAGATATTGCCCTGCCTGGTGTGGCTCAGTTGGTTGGGCGTTGTCCCTACACAGCATGGTTGCCAGTTCAATTCCGGGTCAGGGCACCTGCCCTGGGTTTCTGGCTCGATCCCCAGGAGGGAGCGTGTAGGAGGCAGCTGATCGATGTTTTGCTCTCACATAGATGTTTCTCTCTTTCCTTTCTTCTCTCTCTAAAACTCATTAAAAAAAAAACACATTTAAATAATAACAAAAATATCTACATGTGGAAGTGGTCCCCTATATGCCCTTTTGCCTGCACAGCCTGTGCACCTGTCCCGGCCGTGATAGCCAGACTGGAAGGTCCAGGCCACTAGGCTGGGCCCTCTGAGCTCCATCCTGAGTGACACGCGGAGGCCCTGAGATCTGTGCTTTAGCATCACTGACAGCGCAGCCTCACTCCCAGTCCCCACCAAGGCTTCCAGCCAATCCCTGTGCCCCGAGAGCCACGCCTCTCAACACCAGCTCTCCCTTTTCCCCAGCAAGCTTTTTTGTTTGTTTTTCAATTGTTTTGTTTTTGTTTTTGGGGGTCTGCTTTGTGTGTGTGTGGGGGGGGGGGTTTGTTTTTGAGGAAACTTATTTATTTCATAAGTAACTTGTGTTTTAGGAAACCCAGATGTTAAAAAAAAAAAAAAAAAAAAAAAAGAGGAAATGGAAATTACCTATAATCTCACCCACTTAAGAAGGACCCATCACTTAACATTTTATTACATTTCCATCTGGTTTTGTTTCTGGGGTGTAGCATATAATTTTGACAAAAATTATACTCTTCAGCATATGCTTAGAGCCCTCTTTTTTGTTTGCCCTATGCCTAGGTCTCTGTGTCAGTAAATATACTCTTCCAGCGTTATTTTAGATCTGGGTCATCATTTTCTTAGGCAAATGCGCTGTAGTTTCACACTCAGTTGCCAACAAGGTTTTTCTAACCCAGTTTGACCAGCCCACCCTCCAGAACACTGCCGGGCACATAGTAGGGATTCAGTCAACATCTGCTGAGTGTATCTTTTCACCCCAGTCAATAGAACAGAACAGGTGAAACGGACAGGCGACACCGCCGTAGCCCAGGGTCACGCCCAGCCCGGCCACTTCCTGCGGGACCCTGGACAGAATCCTCACTGTCTCAGCTTTTTCCCTCAGCGCCAGCCACAGCAGCACTGCCTCCCGGGCCAGTCGTAAGGATTGATACGATCCTGGGTGTGGAACCCTTAGCATGGAGCTAGCTGCTGCTGGCCCTCGGTAAATGGTAGCTGCAGTTACTACTGTTCTCTCCCAAAGAGGGGGTGCTGCCCTGTGCACCCCTTGGCTAGCTCCACTCCCCAGTCTTGAGGCCCCTCTCCTCGTTGGGACATTTTGGAATCTTCTAACTCCTGTTTCAGCCCTCACTCCTCTGCCCCCACGGGGAAAGAGAGGAATCAGAAGTTCTGGACATTTCTGTCACCTTATCATTTCAGTTCCAGGGCACTGCCTAGCTTACTGAGCACCTACTATGTGCAGAACACAGCGCAAGGTGTGGTGGTAAATGAAAAGATTTGCTCACAGAGATTCATTCTCTCAACAGACACTGGTGACACGTGCAACTGGAAAGGGCGTCGGGATCTATGAAGGAGCTCCGGCTTGTCCTTCCGGTCCCAGCAGGGTGCCCCTTCCGCTGGGAAGCTGCTCTGGCCCTCGGGGCCGAGCCAGGGGCCGGTCAGATGGCTTTGGAGCCACCCATTCACTCTGTCCGGAACTGGAACCCCTTCCCCACTCCCCACACCCACACCTACATCGAGGCTCTCCGGGGCTCTGAGAGGCAGAAGCTGCATCACTTACTACTATTCTTGCATCTCTAGCACTTTGCACAGGGCCTGGCCCATAGTAGCTGCTCAATAAATATTCGCCATTTAATCTGTTTACGTAATTTAAAACCATTTAAGAAGTGTGTAAACAGCGCCACCTATGGGCAGATGCTTTTAACACTACATTTTAGATTCTGAAACATTTTGCACTGAAATTAAGTGATTCAAGTTTGGCTTTTTTTTTTCTTTTTCTTTTTCTTTTTTTTTAACTTTAGAGATTGTTTCATTCTTCAGGGCCCCGGGGCCATTTATCCTTTTATAAATGTTAAAATAGTAAATGCTCATATTCGTACATTGCTTTGGTTTTGAGGCTGTTAGGTAAAGAGCCCAGAAAGGTGTATATTGGTGTCGGCGAAGTCAGGAGGAAGAGGAAGGCGATAGTAACCACCGCCACGCATGGGGCCCTCGGTCACATGACTCAGCTGATTCTGACAATGCCCCTCGGCGGTTTCATCGCTTTGTAGACTCATCGCTTTGTAGACGGAGGAAATGAAGGCCCGGAGGGAAGTGGCTCTCCCGGCTGGAGCACAGGTCAGCTGACTCCACCATCCACACTCCGCCCACGTGGCGCGCTGGAAGCAGTGGGGGAAATGTCTACGAAGCAGCAGTTTTTGTCCCCAATAAGGTGTCCAGTGCCTTCTACGCCTTTTTAATAGATGGATCCTCAGTGGCCCTATTTCTAGCCAGTGGGGGCTGTTTCTGTAAAGAACCTTCGTTTGCGGAGGATAATGCTTTGACTTCCAGCAGGGATTTTATGGCATCGGGTGCAGTCTTTGGAAAAGGAGCAGGGAATGAGCGCTGCGGGCTGAAGTTTTTACAGGTGATAAGTCATGAAATGGAGCTGTTTTAACCCAACCAGGGTCACGGGAAGGCTGCCTGTGTTGGGCGGAGATGCAGGCAGAGGGAGCCTTGGTGCTGAGCAGTGCCTGGAGGCTCCGAGGCTGGAAAGCTGAGTGTGGCCTGGTCCTCAGGGGAGGGATGGGCAGCCCGGAGAGGGCCCGGGGTGCAGGCAGATTGGAGTCAAGCCCACCCCAGGGGCCTAGCACCACCTCGACCCCTGCCCTGACCCGGTCCCAGCCCCACAGGCTGCTGGAGTCTGAGGAGGGACAGTGGAGAGGAAGTCCCTGCGACTCCAGAGGTCACAGCTTCCTGGCCTGAACGCAGCAGGGGCAGCACTGAGACTCCGCCCCCTGCACTTACCTCCTGGCAGGAAAGGCAAAGCGGATGGCTTGGCGAATAGGGTGTTAGAGGAAAATGAGGACGATGGGCTGGGGGGCTCGGGAGCAGGGCCTGAGGTGCCTGCAGGTGGAGCGGCACAGACCCCGCTCTGCCTGGGGCTGGCCGAGGCACTGGCCACCTGACGGGCAGCTGTGGCAGAGCCTGACCCGGGGCTCCTGGCACGTGAGAGCGGCGTGGCGGCGTGGCTGGACTCAGTGACGTGGGCAGAGTGTAACGGTCCGTCAGTAGGTGGCTCAGGGCCTTTAGGCCAAGGTCAGACGGGGCTTTTCCTCATGGGTGTGCGTGCAGTGAGGAGTTTTCAGTGCCAGAGGTCAAGGTCAGGAAGCTGACCCTGTAACGGGCCCTGAAAGCACATGAGCAGAGTGCAGACAGCCGGCAGCATCAGCAGGCCCCTCGCCCCGAGACCACACGCAGCTCCCAGAAATCCAGGACATTACTCACTACATCGCGGGCGAGGGCAGTTCCGCGGCTGGTGTTTCAAGCTTAAAATTAAGGAGAAAAGTCACGAGGGTGATACCTGCTCAGGGACACACAGATCAGGGAGCTCATATTCCTCCTCGGGCTCACACTCCTCGAGGCCTTATGGGTGGGTGTCTGGTTCTGCACCCAAAAGTGGGATGTTGGGGGAGGGGGGGAGCTGACGGCCAGGGAGGACGCTTGGATGCCGCCGCCTGACTGACATGGGCTCACGTACCGGCTCGGGGTCAGCACGGGTGCCCTGCCTGCCTGGCCTGAGCTCCCTTCCGCTGCCCCGCAGGCGCCGGCTCCGGCTCCCGGCCTCCACGGACTCCTCGCGGGGACTCGCCCCTCCGGGAGCTTGCCCAGAGGGGCCTCTGTCCTCTGTGGCCCGGCCTCGAAGGCTTTGGGGGATTGCTTCCCGGGTGCAGTCACGGGATGGCCTCAGCCTGGCAGACGTCCACAGTGGGGTCCCACATCTCCGATGACGTGCTGCCCAATCCTCACTGTTCTTTCCTCCTGCCCCCCTCCCGCCCCGTCTCCCTCCCCGGGGCCTCCCTGTGGAATCGGGCTCTGAAACTCCTCACCACACCCCTCGCCCAGGAGCCCGCTCGCTTTAGACAGCTCTTTCAGGGCCATTCCGAAGGGCGAAGGGCACGGGAGGAAAGCAGACACCCTGAGCGGGGCCGGCCCGCCTCACTGAGCCAGGTTTCCTCTCCAGCCTCACCGCTCAGCAGGAGCACCGCTTCCGGAGGAAGTGGGATTGCAGCCTCCGGCCCTGGTTTGGAAAACACTTGCTCCTACTTGCTCCTTGTTAGTTGCGTGGTTCTGTTTTCCTCGTTCACACGTACCTTCATGCAACATGCAGGTGACATGCCAGCTGGCCACGTGGGGTCTAGGGGCCTGGGGTCAGCCTCCCTTTAAACTCTGCTTTTCTTTTCTCCACAGCAAACCCAAGGAGCCCGTCTTCAGCGCGGGTAAGTCTGCTGTCCCTGCCGGTGCCCTCACTGCCCTGGGGCCGGGCACAGCTCAGCGACAGCCGGTCAGGGACGCTGTGACACCAGAACTTGGGTGTCTGTGTGGCGAGGCTGACGTTGGCTGGTCTCGGGGGGCCCACCGCTCAGATCATACAGACTAAACCTTTGCTGGCCCCTTTAAGAGCTGGTTTCCGATACGTCCACCAGGAGGAGGAAGATGCCGCGGGCAGCGCAGGGCACTGGGGTCCTCAGACCCGCCGCCTCTGCCTTCCCGCTCTCGGGGGCCGGCATCAGCGTGTGCGTTTCCTGGAAGGAGCGGCTCCCGCACACCAAGCTGTAACTTGTCCACAGGGAGCTTTTCTTCCTCCTCCGGCCTCGGGTTCCTCACCTGCAAACAAACAGCTCCTGTGGACCTCTCCTAGGTCTTTTTAAACACATTTCATAATAAGGTACACGCTATTTATAGGGCATTGACCTTATTTAAATGTGTGTTTAAAATACAGAAAAAGTGACACGTGAATCATGGGGTAGATCCACTGGAGTCTGGATTTCGTTTTTGCCTTCCCCATGTTTTCCACCTGGAACTGAAGCACAGAAGTCAGAGCTCCGGGCGTGCCAGCCGGTGCTGCCATGTTTCAGGGAGTGGGAGATCCTGCAGAGTAGGCTTCCCTGTCTGAGTCCCTCAGATGTGTCCAGGGTTTTCTCGGGGGGAGGGAAGGAGTCTCTCCCACTGAGAGCTAGTGAGCACTGGCCCAGGCGGCAGGCCCCCTGCAGTACCCCCCGTCTCTCTATCCAGCCCTTCTGTCTCTGTCTCCGAAATCCCAAGGGAAGCGCCGGGTGACGCACTGCCAAGGTAGGCCGCCCGCCTGCCCCCATAGCTCTCCGAGCCAAGCTGTGGCCCTGGCTCCAGAACACTCCTCCTGCGCCCAGCAGACCCTCTCCCGTGTGACAGCGTTTCTGCGACGCACACACGTGGCTGGAAGTTGAGCCCCTGAGCGTTTTACTGAGGAGCTGTCATTTGGGTCTTGGTCGGTTACTGGCTGATTACGGGAACTTTCCCCAAAAAATCTGGATAAGCCTTGAGAGAGCTATAGGACAAGGCCTGGGCGCCCACTGTGTGAGATGGCCCCACTGTGTGAGCTGGCCCCACTGTGTGAGCTGGCCCCACTGTGTGAGCTGGCCCCACTGTGTGAGATGGCCCCACTGTGTGAGCTGGCCCCACTGTGTGAGCTGGCCCACTGTGTGAGATGGCCCCACTGTGTGAGCTGGCCCCACTGTGTGAGCTGGCCCACTGTGTGAGCTGGCCCCACTGTGTGAGCTGGCCCTGCACCCCTGCTGGCCTGCCCGGCGCCGCTGGGTGTGGTGGCTGTGCGCTGTCACCCTAACATGCCTGAAAAGCCTTGCTTCCCTGCCGCGGTGGGCGTTAGATGTAGGACAAAACCACGCCAAGACCAGTGCTTTTCCTGGGGCACAGACAGTAGCTGCGATTCGTGCAGGAAGTAAACCTCGGTCTGAAGCCTCGGTAAGCAGCACCTCCTCCAGGATACACAAGTAGATACAGCGATTAAATACAGGCTCTGCGTGCTGCGGAAGCAGCGCTGTGTTCTCGCGGCCCCTCGCCTGCAGTCCGCCTCCTCGCTCACAGGAGAACGGGTGGACTCGGCTGGGTTAGCGTGAAGCTCTGTCATGCGACCCCTCTCTATGCAGCATCAGCCTGCCGGGTGCTTTCGGTTCTTCAAGGAACCTTGCAGTCTGATGAGCTCAGACGTTGGCGAGGGAGTAAGGAAAGGAGAGAGTTGAGGCCAGGAGAAGAGCCTGTTGGGGGTCCAGAGCAGGACACATGTGTGGGTGGCCAGGAAACGCAGCTGGCCAGAGAGAAGAACCCATATAGGTGGTCATGGCCAGGCAGTTAGACCTTTTTTTTTTTTTTTTTTTTTAATATATTGTATTGATGTTTTACAGAGAGGAAGAGAAAGGGATAGAGTTAGAAACACCGATGAGAGAGAATCATCGATCAGCTGCCTCTTGCACACCCCCTACTGGGGATGTACCCGCAACCAAAGTACATGCCCCTGACGGGAATCGAAACCCGGGACCTTTCATTCCGCAGACTGACGTTCTATCCACTGAGCCAAACCGGTTTTGGCCGGACAGTTAGACCTTTGCATCCAGCAGGTCAAAGACAAGTGAAGGATTTGGGGCAGAGACTCAGTGGAGTCCAGGTTGGGCCTTCATGGGTTTGGCCTCAGAATGTGAGACGGCCTAGGGCAGTGGTTGGCAAACTCATTAGTAAACAGAGTGGCAAACCGCGGTTCCCAAGCCACATTCTCAAGCCAAAGTTTGCCGACCACTGGCCTGGGGGACCAATAGGGGAGGCTGCAGTGGGGTTCTCAGGCGGGCTGGTCCCAGTGCATCGGGAGGACGGAGCCCAGTGAAGCATCCCAGCAGGAGCCACAGCCCGGCGGCGGCAGCACCCTGTGCGTGATGAGCGCGTGCTGCTCTGACCTCAGACCCTGCTGCACACGCAGAGTGAGGAGTGTGTCATGTGCATGCGTCAGGCCTGGGGCACGCACCCGGCACCGTGGAGCTGGCCTCGTGCCGCTGGGCGGCATTGCATGCGGCGTTGTTTGACACCCTTGGGACTAAGACTGACAAACTAACGTGTGACTGCGGCACCTGCGGTACTGGAATGACTTCCTGTTTGCTCAGCACCCTCCTCCTGCGGATGGCTTCTGTGGGGTTACCACAGATCTCCCTGGTCCCACTCCCGACTTAAGTGCCTCTCCGCTGGTCCTTTGACCCGCAGTCTTTCATCCGAGCCCAGTGAGCGCTGAATGGGAACCCATTGCGCGCCAGAACTTCCTCTGGTCTCACCAATTCATTTTATTGTGAAAGTGTTTGCTCCGGAAAGTTTTTCTTCCCAGCTTCCCTCTCTGATGGGCCTTTTGCTCGCTGGTTTTCCATGTCTAGCTTTTCTTGGAGCATTTCTCTTTTTGCACGCATCCGAGCCTGTACTTGCTCCTTGAGGTTCCTTACGGGGACGGCATTGTCCAGCGTAAGAGACACGTGGAGATACTGTAACCAGTCAACTTAAACATTGAAGGATAGCTATGACTCTCCATGTGGAAATCACATACACATTGAGCTCAAAAAGTTTCCGTGGATTTCTCGTGTTAGTTATACTATGGGAGGAGTGCCATTCTCTCCCCTCCCGATGATAAAGCAATGTAAGCACTAAAATCTCTCGTGAAAAAATAATGGAATCCAGTTCTTGCCTGCTTTTCACAGCCTCTTATATACTCCATGTGCTTGAGTGAGCAGAATGCCAGAAGAGGACAAGGGGAAATGAGACATTTGTTGGAGTGACAGGGAGGAGCCGAGGCTTCGCTCTGCGTTGAGAGCTAGAGAAGGGGTGCGGCGTGCAGGGACCTCTCACCGTCTGTTCTTCTCGCAGAGGAGGGCTACGTGAAGATGTTCCTGCGCGGCCGCCCGGTCACCATGTACATGCCCCGGGACCAGGTGGAGTCCTACAACCTGGAAGCCAAGGTGGACCTTCCGACCAAGAGGCTCAAGCTGGAGTGGGTGTATCCTCGTCCCTTTGCTTTGGGCTTGATGCTTAACGGTGGAAACTCTTAAAGCTTAATGTCTCTTAAGCTTCTTTAAAAAAAAATTCTCTCAACATTAATTTAACAAGATTGGCCGTAAGTCAGCACCCGCAGACGAGAAAAGTCGTCCCATCAGAGCTAGCCATGATGAAGGACGCCAGCTTGTCCTTCCTGAGGCTAATATTTGTGGTCCTCACTCAGATACATACCCATCGTCTTCCTGAAGGGAGAGTATTTAAAAAATGTCATACGGTTGAATGCTTCCTCGGGCAGTTGTGGGAAAATGCATCACCAGTTTCTGGCCTGTATTTTAATTTTTCTGACAGAATAAAGTTAGTTTAAAAACGCCTTGCAAAGCGAATTTAGGAGAAATAATCTCAGTGGGTAAAGATTAGGATTCTAATGAAAATGAGAGCGCTGAAGGAAGGACGGGTACTCCTTCCCCCAGCCCAGAAGGACTCGGCCCCCGCAGAGCCTGACTGCAGGCAAACACAGCCTCGCTGAAGGGCTGCTGTCCGCGAACACCCAGTCCTAAACGGAACCCACGTGGCACAGCAATGACACCCCCTAAACACTACAAAATCCTCTCCCCCACCCCAAATCGAGGCTACATGGCTACCGTCCCTGAAACAGAGCTGCTGCCCAGCCTTCGTGGGGTGAGATTTGGAAAGTGAGGGAGCTCCCAGGGGAGACACTGAGGGCCTGAGGAAGGCTGAATTAAATGTTGACATTTTGTTTTACTTTATTTTACTTTTTTACTTTATTTTCTTTTACTTTACTTTTTTTATGCTTTAGAGGAAGCCTGCAGAGGCTACCTTTCAGCCCATGCGGATTTTAAGACAAAGCAGAAATCCTGCTTTCCCTTAAAGAGCTACTGATTGATTTCCGGTTGAATGCAAAGCCCTAAGCACAGGTTATATAAGCAGTTTTAAACGGTTGCTGCTGCCGTTTCGCTTACGAGAATTGCCACTGTATTTGAAGTAATGGAATCACATGCTTTAGAACACATGTGTCAAACACAAGGCCCGCGGGCCAAATCCGTCCCGCCAGGCCTTGCAATGTGGCCCGCACCGCGCTGTCATCACTGCACTCCGCTGCCTTTCCATCACAATGACAGTTTATGACTGTTCAGTAAACCATTCGGCCCGCGATTTAGGCTGGATTTTAGATTTTGGCCCCTTCTCTGATTGAGTTCGACACCCCTACTTTAGAATGTTTTCAGAATTAGCATCTGTCCCTAAATTTCTCCCTCCAAAATATATTTTTTATTTTTCAGATTCAGATGTCATAAGCATTTCCCTGCCCCTGTTTTTCGATCTATTTTGGCTCATGGAATTGGAGTTTTTAAAGTCAGTAATTGTCAAATTGGCTAAACCAGATCTAGAAAGCATTATTGGAAAATCGCATTTGCTCAGCCTACTCCCTGTCTATATTGTAGAAAATATAAAACAGTGGAATTTGACCCCAGTGAGTGCCATGCTGTTTTTTTCCAGGTTAGTTTATTTCACATCCAAGTTCACATGTTTTGCTGGCAAAATAGTTTTCAAGGTTTGGAAGCATTCATGCCAAAATCTCAGTGGTGATTAGCCTAAGCAGCAGGGAGTGGTTGGAGGAAGGACCTAAATATTTTACTTTTTATTTGTGCGTGTGTGTGGGTGGTTTGCACCTTTTACGAGTACTTTTATAAAGATAGAGCTCCAAGGTTACAATTAGAAACAAGCCCATAATTGACTTAATAACTGTTGTATGTTAAAGCCCATTATCAGCATCTCAACTTTTTTTTTAATACTCTAAAACCATGGTCGGCAAACTGCGGCTCGCGAGCCACATGTGGCTCTTTGGCCCCTTGAGTATGGCTCTTCCACAAGGTACCACGGCCTGGGTGAGTCTATTTTGAAGAAGTGGTGTTAGAAGAAGTTTAAGTTTAAAAAATTTGGCTCTCCTAAGAAATTTCAATCGTCGTCCTGCTGATATTTGGCTCTGCTGACTAATGAGTTTGCCGACCACTGCTCTAAAACATAAGGAATTTTCAAAGCTCCATGTTTTTTCTTGGGGTAGGATTGAGTCTCACCATTTTCAGGTGTATCTTGTTTTTCATACAAGCTACAGAAGACACAAAACTAGGAGAGAAATTTGATTAATTTCCCGGTCATGATTCTAGAACCAGGCCTTCTCTCCCATTAACCCAGAGCGATGGCCATGGCAGGTCCCCACTGGAGGTTTGTGTCTCCGGACGGCAGTGACAGGGAGACGAGGATGAGGGCAGGCTCCGCTGGCCCTGCTGCTCCTCCTGGTTCTGTTTCCCTGCGCCAGGCCCTCACCACTAAGGAGCAGAGGTGCCCGAGGGAACGTGAACCCCCATGGGCCGGGCGCCGGCCCAGCAGGTCTGAGCAGGTGTGATAATGGAGATAGACGTTATGCAAGCGAGGCAGCGGGAAGGGACCAGAGGCGAACTGTGGTGCCCCGTGTTCTGGCTTTCCTGTGAGATCAGTGTCTGCAGCTTCAGGTGGCTTTCATTCCAGAGGCAGGAGGTCAGGTCGTCAGCCTGTGAAAACACCAGTTTGGCCCAGTTTAAAGGGAGACAAGGTGCAGAGAAGACAGGCATCCACGTAAAATCCCAGCGGCTCAGCATAAAAATGTGCCCGGCTGTCACCTCCCAGAGCCGGGTTAATAAGCTGAGTCAGAGAGAGTTCATCAGCCGGTGACCATACGAATGTCTGATCCAGTTACCTTCAGTGAGTAAAGCGATAAGTTACCACTTTTGATCAAGCTTAAATAATTCAGCTTTCAAAATATAATACATAGTTTTGCCTGGCCGGTGTGGCTGGGTGGTTGAGCATCGACCAGGAGGTCACAGTTTGATTCCTGGTCAGGGCGCATGCCTGGGTGTGGCCTTGATCCCCAGTGTAGGGCATGCAGGAGGCAGCTGATCATGATTCTTTCTCATTATTGATGTCTCTATCTCTCTCTCCCTTTCCGAAATCAATAAAATTAAAAAATAAAAATTTTAAATATATATATACATATATATACACATATATAAAACATTCTTAAAATAAAACCAAATCTTCATATTGTTAAAAAGTATTCACATTAAGCCAATGGCCATTTCCAACTTCATTGCCTTCCTGTTTAGGGAGGGAGATGCATTCCTCCCCGTTTGCAACCTAACAGTATTTAACGTTGTGAAATGGATGGTAATAGCCATGGAGAATGGTCTGCCTATTACATAAAGCTAGTCTTTGTCAGCTCTTGGGAAGAAAACATGTTTTCTCTTGACACACGCGAAGCTACGGGTACAGGGGCCGGGACTGTCGGAACAACCTGTACCTGCTCCCGACGGGCGAGACGGTGTACTTCATCGCGTCCGTGGTGGTGCTGTACAACGTGGAGGAGCAGCTGCAGAGGCACTACGCCGGCCACAACGACGATGTCAAGTGGTGAGTCCCCACGCCGAGGCAGGGGCACCCGTGTGGGCTGTTAGCGGAAAAGGCTCCATGTCTGGACAGCACCAAAGAGAAGGGGCCTGAGAGAAGCATTTCGTGTTCTGTGCTGTCCATTTATTAGCTGGCTCCCTGGCTCTCTAAGGCACCTCTGTAGTTTTCTATCTTTATAACCCAGTCTTACCCAGCCCCCTTACCTGAACCAATAGCTCTAACAGACCCCTGATGAGAAGCCTTCTTAACACATCTCATGATGACAGATTCTAATTTGGGTCTCTATTTTTTAATAAAAAGTAAAATGCTTTGCCTCGTGGTTTGGGCTGGCTCAGCTGTTCCCATAATTTGTTCACAGCCTTGGGGAGGTGGGGTGCGTATCTTGGAGGGATGGATGGATGATGGGTAAAGCAATGGGTTTATGCTTATCTATTTGTCCTAGGTCTCTAGTTCGTTATAAAAGTCCTGTTGAAAACAGTGATGTCTTTGCTATTTGATATACTCGAAATGACTTCTTTTAAAAGCTTGCAGACTACTAATTAAGTAATTCTGAGATTGAAATGATATTTTCCAGCAAAAAAAAAAAAAATGCTTTTTCCTTGAGTTGAAAATTCTCTAGAGATGAAGGAATTAAGATGAAATGAAATAGGTGCTAATTGTCTAAAGCCATTGGAGTGCTCAGATGATTTACTGTGAGTCTGTAAGAAGTTAGGCATTCTATATTTTATATTTGAACTAGTGACTTTCCATGCACATTGAAAAGAAAGTAATTAGAAGGTGGCCAGTGGGACGGGAGTGGGTGAGACGAGCCAGGCACATCCTGGAGCTAACCTGCCATGGTCCCTCCCTGCTGACCGCACCTGGGTGGTGCCTAGCTCAAAGGGTGTTTGTGAAGTGAGCAGGGTCCTCCCAGCAGGTGGGGTCCCTCAGCCTGGCCTGTGGAGATCAGGCTGAAACCGGCTCTGACATTTCCCGAGGGGTCCCCGAGTGCGAGAGGGCGCTCTGCAAAGTTGCTGTCGTACAGGGTGTGGAACACAAATGCAAGTGTGCAGTAAGCCAGATTCCATCCGACAGTGCCCCAGCAACAACATAACCAACATCTGAAGGTGGAATCGCACAGCCCCATGAGGAATCAGGCTCCCTCCTCTCTGATTTCAGGGTGTGTCACTGAAAACAGCTGCTGCCAAGTCACTTCAGCTTGGCAGCTCCTCCATTGAGTGTCTGCCCCCTGGTGGGCAGTGCACGTCATGGCTATTAGTCGGAGTAGGCTAGAGGCCCAGTGCATGAAAATTCATGCACTTGGGGAGGAAGCAGTCCCTCAACCCAGCCTGCACCCTCTCGCAGTCTGGGAGCCCTCAAGGGATGTCCCGCTGACTGCTTAGTCTGGGCTCCCTCTGTAGGAGGCAACGGGTGGGCCAGTCAGAGGCAGCTGGCCCCACTCTCCCGATCACCCCTCTACTGCTGCTGATCGCCACTGCCCCCGATCGCTGTCTCCTCCCACTGCCCGCTGGCATGCACCTTGGCTGATCTGGTGCCGCCTGCTCACTGGCCCCACCCCCCTACTGACCAGTTGTTCCACCATTCGGTCTATTTGCATATTACACTTTTATTATTGTATATAGGATTGTCAACTAGATTATATTTGATCAAGGAAAAAAATAAAGCTCACCTTTAAAGAGTAAGAATTTTATAAGTATCTTTTTTATAGCCTAGCAGTTCATCCGGATAAGATTACAATAGCAACAGGACAAGTCGCGGGCACGTCCAAGGATGGGAAGGTGAGTTATGTCATCTCTTCCTCTTTGTATCACGTAACCTTGTGCTGATGAACAAGACGCTTAGATACAGAGCACCTGAACATGTCCTCATCTCTCACTAGAACTCTTCATTGCAAATTAAAAATTCTGCAGTAATCTTAAAAACTCCTTAAAGTCACCTTAATTTCAGCCAGTTTTTAAATAGCATAATCTTGTCTACGAATTCACTAATTCTTAAGATATTGACATACATGATAAACATTAAAATACCAAGTACTGTACACATTTACTGCGTAAAGTGGAAATCATAATGACATCGTTTAAAGTGAGCCTTCTGCCTGTCCGGTGTTCAGGCACATTCTCTTAATCCCTGTAATCAGGACCTCAGCCGAGTCTGCATCTGTGTGAGACACACAGAGACCTCCAGGCTTCCGCAGAAGTTCTGTAAGCGCGTCTGCAGGCGGAGGGGGAGCCAGTGGAATTCAACAGAGAACAATTCAGAACTGGCTGTCAGCTCCTCCCTTACTGCAGGCTGTGGTCATTGCCACATCTTATCCAAAACTCCTTGTAGCTTTTATTTGTTGTGATTGTTGTTAATCCTCACCCGAGGATATTTTTCCATTGGTAGCTGTTTTTTACAGAGGGAGAGACAGAGAGAAACATGGATTGGTTGCCTCCTGTATGTGCCCTGACCGGGGCCCAGGATTGAGCCTACAACTGAGGTATGTGCCCTTGACTGGAATTGAACCCGAGACCCTTCATTCCTCAGGCCAATGCACCTACCACTGAGCAAACGGCTAGGGCTCCTTGTAGCTTTTTTGTTACCTGCCTTAGGATAGCTTATTATTGAGCAATAGATGATCTGATACTTATCACATGAAATACTTCCACTTTAATCAACATTGACTTCCAGCAAACACAAGTGTTACCATTTTTTGGAAAATATTTTAATAGCATCAACTTTTAAATATTAACTTTTCTATTGAAATTCTACAGTTGAAGTAACAGGAACAATAAATCAGACCACCATTATGTAAACACACATGCATGGAACAGAGTCGCTGTTTTTGCTAAATGTTAAATGACCTTAGGAGTTCTTTGAAATTAGTAGTAAACCGTTTGTTCCTCCCTCCAGTGAGCTGACCGTGTATTTTCGTTTCTGGCATTGAAATTAGAACTTTGCATCCAGAGAAGATCGGATGGCTATCTGAGCCTCTCCTTCCGAGTTCCAGGGAGAAGTCCAGGGAGGTCACGTGACTGCCTGCAGCACCCAGCTGCCTAGAGACAAGCCCACACTGGAACCTAACTCACCTGGCCCCACCGTGTCCGCTGGGTGCACTGCTGGCCTTTTCTCGACAAATCTGCTCATAGTTCTGGGCTGCTTTTCTCTGTTGAGGAAAAAAATTAGTATAAACCACGTTGAAACACAATTGAGAGGGTATTGTACTGAGTCATAGCAGTTCTGCATTTTATTTGTGCACTATTAACTGCCTATTTTGCTCTTACAGGCCCCACAGAGTCCTTAAAATGATTTTGTGGTGACGATTTTGATGAATTCACACACACACACACACACACACACACACACACACAAAACAATATGAACTTTGTAAGATTAATCCTTATACGAAATTCCATTCTCCTTGTCATTTTTTTATTTTAAAATTCAGTTGCGTCCAGATGTATACATTAGAATATCAACTCCTGTGTGACCAAGAATTGGCTATTCAGCCCTAACCGGTTTGGCTCAGTGGATAGAGCGTCAGCTTGCTTAAAGGGTCCCGGGTTCGATTCCGGTCAAGGGCATGTACCTTGGTTGCAGGCACATTCCCAGTAGGAGGTATGCAGGAAGCAGCTGATCAGTAGAGTTTCTAACTCTTATCTTTCTCCCTTCCTCTCTGTAAAAATTCAATAAAATATATCTTTTTTAAAAAAAGAAGAAGAAAAAAGAATTGGCTATTCAAAATTTAAAACTTGGCAGACCTCACCTAAGTCTAAAGGGCACAGAGGCTGGAGTCCCCTGAAGACATTGGGGATGTCATTTATGTTAAAAGACGTAATTACCAAATGCAGAAAAAGACCTTTTGTCTTGACAACATTGAAGTCACCTTGTAGCTTCTGGGTAAAGGTAAATTCGTGTCATTCTCGCAAATAGTGACTGACTTTGTGGTTTTTCCTCAACAGCAATTGCCCCCCCCACGTGCGCATCTGGGACTCTGTGACGCTGAACACCCTGCACGTCATCGGGACCGGGTTTTTCGACCGAGCCGTCACCTGCATCGCGTTCTCTAAGTCCGTAAGTCCGAGCTCTGCGGGAGCACACTCTCCCCACTGGAGTCGGCTCGAGGCCAGAGAGGGAGGGTTACGGGGCCGCTCCTAAGGGGATGTGCGGATTCCACCCCGAAACCCGCAGGCTTCCCAGTCCCCACCTTCAGAGGCCACCCTCCTCCAGTCAGACCTTCCAGCCTGTGGGCCACTGCCTGCTCTGGCCTTGAGTGTCACCTGCCCCTCCCTCGGGGACCCCCGCACGCATGCCCCTGCTGTCCTCCCAGCCTGGTTCCCTGTCTGTCACAGGGGCTGGACGGGCGCCAGGGTCTCCCCCGATCCTCCCTGTCAACCACGTCTTCATGCAGTTCAGAGACTTACGTCCGAGGCGCATGCCTGTGTCACCCCAATGCTCTTCCTCCCGGACAGCCTGTCAGGACCCCCGTCAGTGCCAGGCCTGTGCTGTGCCAGGGAGGGCTCTGCAGCCCTCAGGAGGCCGTGGTTAGTGGACCTGCTGGTGGGGAGCCCCCCGAAGCCCCTCTCCTGCTGCTGTCCCTTCACCAGCCCCCCTTCACCCTCTCTCCTTGTCTCTCCGCCCAAGTCAGCGGGTCTCAAAGGCAGTCAGCAGACACTCTTTAGCCGACAGGGGGCAGACTCCATGTTAAAAGTAAAATTATCGTTCATTTCTAACCACGCTCAGCCTGTTCTGTCCTCAAACACGGTCTTCCTGGGAATGCTTTCTTTGCAGAACGGAGGCAGCAACCTGTGCGCCGTGGACGACTCCAATGACCACGTGCTGTCGGTGTGGGACTGGCAGCGGGAGGAGCGGCTGGCGGACGTCAAGGTGTCTCTCCCCGCCGGGCGCGGCCACGCTGGCCTCTCCCTGTGCCTTCTCAGGCCACGGCCACTTCCCGCTCCTCAGAGGCCGCGGTGCCCATCCCCCGGCAGCCTCGGGGACACCCGCCCCAGCATCCCCGCGGCCCACCCAACCCCCTCCCAGGATGCCATGCGCAAGCCTGGCAGGGCTGCTTCCTCTCGTCACAATGTCTGCCAGGGTCTGCCGACCTCGCTGTACAGCCACGGCCCCTTAAGTTCATTTGTTCACTGCTCCCCGCTTTGACTCCACAAGTGCCAAGTGTCCCCTGTGGGCCCAAGTGCTGAGGAGGCACTGGAGGCGTGGTGGCACTGAGGCCCAGGCAGGGAGGGGCGGGGAGGGGGTCTGACCCCCAGCCCAGGGCCCAGAGCTCAGCACTGGGGAAGGAGGGGCCACGCCGGGTCCCCAGCTCGGTGGGCTCACCGTGCTGGTGCCCTGATGGCTTCTCTCTCCCACCTTTGATCTGTTCCACACAAAATAGCAGTGAACTTCCCAACCCTTTCTTACTTTTCCCCCTGGTAAGTCATGGCTCAGCCTATTTTATAGGATCAACTTCATATTTCTCATCCTGGCATCCATGAGCCTTAGGTAACCTTGCTTCCCTCACATAAAGATTAGCATCGAGTCATCTTACTCAGCTGACGTGAGGGGCAGCATTGGGCACCTCACTCACTTGCGAGTCTGGGGGCAGACCCTGTGCACTAACCTCAGGTTTCCTGGCACCTGTGTCCATGCAGGAGCCTGCCTCTAGTATCTGGTCAAGCGCTGACATTCCTGCACTTCGCTAGGTGGGCAGTAACCAGAGGCAGGCTGTTATCCAGGTGTGAGAAGGTGTAACTGGTTATCCAGGGGAAGGAGCAGGCAGGCCCATTCCTCTGGCCAGGGTGCACAGGAACCAGATAACGGGGTGAAGGGAAACCCAAAGAGCTGCCTTCCTGCATCCCTCCGGCCCGGTCCCAGGAATCGGACCAGGAGGGACTCCCAGGCGAGTGGTGCCGAGCATCCGGGAGCAGTGGAGAGTATAACATGCAGGTTCCCAGGCCCCTCTCAAGGTCCCCTCACTAGATGGGGTGAGACCTGGCAGCGGCAGGAGACGCACCCCAGCTGATCCTGCTGTTCGCCCGGGGCTGGGCTCCACGCCTGGACAAGGAGGGCAAATGCCTGCAGTTAACCCCCTGCTGCCCTGGCCCCTCCTTCAGCAAACCCCGGCTGCAGGGCCTGCTCTGCACCCACTCCTGTGCCGGGTCCTCACAGAGGGCCCCCCCTGCCCTCAGGCCACCGGCCAGTGGGGGAGAGACGGGAGAGAAATGGGGGAAATGGAGAGGCAGGGGCTTAGCTTGAGGGGTGGTGGGTTTGTGGGGGCCTGTGAGATCTGAGACATGGAGTCTCCTGTGTCCCTCAGTGCTCTAACGAAGCCGTGTTTGCCGTGGACTTCCACCCCACGGACACCAACATCATCGTCACCTGCGGAAAGTCACACCTCTACTTCTGGACGCTGGAAGGCAACTGCCTCATTAAGAAGCAAGGACTGTTCGAGGTGAGGTTCAGTGACCGGCAGTTTGTTCTCGCTGAGGGTCTGGGGATCCGCTGGCCTCACCTGTAAACAGGGAGCTGTTGGCATTCGGGCTCAGCGTTTTCTTCAGTGGCCAATGTGGGGGTGCACGTGGGGGTGTTGTGACAAAGACGATTCCCAGACCCAGATCCCTAACAGGGTTGGGGGTCCCCTGTGTCAGGGGGGTGACAGTGGTGGTGCCGAGGGGGACGGTGGGCCAACACAGGGCGCACAGGGAGAGGATGCCTGGGAGCGGCCATGTTGGCCCAGAGCGGCTGAGAGGCACTTAGGGGGGCATCTGGGCAGCCCGCCTTCGCCAAGGGCGGCAGACACTCAGTGCCTTTTAGTCCGGCCACGGGGACCTGTGACAACCCCGGGACAGCACACCTTCTCCATGGGGACAATGGCTGCAAGCCCCGGAGATGGAGTTAGAGCTGCTTTATTCTGGGCCAGGGCCCCGCTCCTCAGACTGTAGCCATGACGACACAACCTGCTCCTGAGCCCCCTCCAGCACCTCCCTCCGCTGGAACTGTCTGCAGCTGATACACCCCGGGCATTGCTGTCAGAGCACATCCTCTCAGGCGTAAGGGATGTGACAGTGGAGGGACGTGAACGGCATCATTGCAGGCCCCTTCCCGCTGGGTGATCGGGAGTCTAGACTAGAGAGAGTTTGTACAGACGAAAAGCCACCTTGACGGACCGTATTGGTGTCTTTACAACATTCGCAGAAGCAAGAGAAGCCAAAGTTCGTCCTCTGTGTGACGTTTTCTGAAAACGGCGACACCATTACCGGAGACTCGAGCGGCAACATCCTGGTCTGGGGGAAAGGTAACGCCTGGCCTCGGCGGCGCTCTGAGAGGTCAAAGGCGGCTTCTGTGAGAACTGTCAATAAGTCACAGGGCGGCTGAAATCCCAGCGTGCGCAGGTCCATGCTTAGACAGGGCAGAGGAAGAGGGAGGGGCGGAGGCAGGGGCCTCCATCGCCCTGAAAGCCTCGTGAAGCCCAGACGTTGTGATGGAAGAACAGCTTTGTTAGGAGACGTAGTAACGGATCGTAAGGATGAAGGCAGCCATGGCTGTTTGCTTAGCTGTGAGATAGTTAATAAGCATCTGGTTCTCAGCGTGTGGCAGGCGTTATCGATCACAGGATGTGAGAGGCGGCGTGCTAGACGCCGGGGCACACAGATGAGTCAGCCCCGAGTCGCCGTGCCAGCCAGCACCCAGCGTGGTGCGGAGGCGCCGTCTCTCAGAAACGTCCCTTCAGTTCCACTCAGCGAGCAGCTATGCACGCTCACCACGTGCCAGGAAATAAGGAGAAACACCCTCCCTGGCTCAGGGCCTTAGAGTGCGGGCTGTGGTGAAGGTGGGAGAGACCCACCGGAGTTCTTTCCGGCCAGTAGGGTGACTCCTGTGGGTCCCCGCTCCTCTGGGTGCCGGGTGCTCGCTGCAGTGTTTTCTCCCCCCTTAGAGCAGGCCTGTGGGTCAGCAAAGGGGAAACTGAGGTGGGGCAGGGTAAGCCGCTCGGCCGGAGACACAGCTGCCCGCGCTCCAGTCCCCGTTCTGAGCTCGGGTCCCTGGGTTCTCCTCGCACCGCCTTCGCGTCAGCAAGCGTCCTTCGCTGTGCGTAGCCCTGCCCCTGCCTGCCTGGTGCTCTGTGAGCGGCTGCCCATCAGACCCTTGTAGGCTTACCCACCCGTGATGCCCTCACCGACCATGCCAACTTTAAAACAGGAGTGGAAGCGACGGGCAGAGGTGAGCCTCCTCGCAAGGGACTAAGGATGGTTTTCTTGGTGTGTCTAGGTACGAATCGAATAAGCTATGCCATTCAAGGGGCCCACGAGGGTGGTATTTTTGCACTTTGTATGTTAAGGGACGGCACCCTGGTGTCGGGAGGCGGGAAGGACCGGAAGCTCATTTCTTGGAACGGAAACTATCAGAAACTTCACAAAACCGAGGTAAGACAGCGAGCAGTACTACTGACATCTGCTTTGAACCTTCAGCTGTTGTCCTAACCCAGTGGTCGGCAAACTCATGAGTCACCAGAGCCAAATTATCCACAGTACAACGATTGAAATTTCTTTTGAGAGCCAAATTTTTTTAAACTTAAACTATATAGGTAGGAACATTGTTATTAACTTAATTAGGGGACTCCTAAGCTGACCTTTGCTAAAAACTCCAGGGGCCAACGAGCCGCATGTGGCTCATGATCCGCAGTTTGCCGACCCCTGATCTAACCAGTTTCCTTGTTGGTTTGAAGTCTTTAGCATACAGTTTTGAAAGTTGTTTTGATAACATTTTATTAAGTAGTGTAGTATTTTATTAAAATCCTGGAGGCAGTTTAAGTACAGCTATTAGCATGGGATTCGATGTATAAAATCTGGGGTGGTAACATATTTCACATTTAGAATATTTTTGTAATAGAACCAATCCCACTTTGCAAGGGAGTACTGTCTACGTTTTTTCTTACCATTAAAATCTTTCTCCTGGTCACTTCAATCTCCAGGGTGTTACTTTGGAGACATGATCACTGTGAGCTAAAGTTTACTGAGCATCTACTTTGCACCTGGCTGAGTGCCAGCATGCCCTCCCGTGAGCTCTGAGTCCCGGACCATCTCTTTCACCTCCTTTTACCTGGTTAGCATCCTGCAGTCGGTAGGAGCCAGAGGCGAGAAATCCAATATTCCCTCCGCACACTGCCCTCCAGGCCCCAGGAAATTGTGAGCAGACCGATGCCACGTCAGTCTGACGGTGGATGGTCTTTCTCCCTCCCGTAGAGGGGACTCGCTGTAGCACATTTCCTGCCTGGAAGGCAGATTCTCAAACTCGTTGCACCCTGTAGCTCGCGTCCCATCAGAGAGCGCCACACTGCTCCGTGCTCGCGGTGGAAGAGCCTGATTTTCTGATTATTGCTCTTAATAAAGGGAGGCTCTCATCTGAACTTAGAAATCACTTTCCCCTTCACGGAGTTGTGTGTTGTTTTTCTAGAGAGAATGGAAGGGGCTAGGAGGGGGGAGAGGAGAGAGAGAGAGATAGAGATAGAGAGAAACATCGATGTGAGAAAGACCCTTCCTTATACGCCCCCTACTGGGGATGGAGCCCAGAACCCAGCATGTGCCCTGACCAGGAATCAAACTGTGACCTCCTGGGTTCATAGGTTGACACTCAACCATTGAGCCACATCCGTTGGGCAGAAATGCTTTGTTCTTTATTATTATTTTTGAACAGCTTTACTCTTCTGATTCTTTTAAGGTATATAAAATGTTCAGAGTTTAAAAGTAAGATTTGGGGTTTTGATCATTCACTCAACCGTTTGACTGTGGACCTTTCCCTGTCTCTCCGTGCATGCCTGTGTGTGTGTGTATGTGACTGCGACAGGAGCTGTCATCATGGTACATAAACAAGCATTTTCAATGATGCCTCACATCTTCTCTTTTCAATGCAGATTCCAGAACAGTTTGGTCCGATTCGGACGGTGGCCGAGGGGAAGGGCGACGTGATCTTGATCGGCACCACCAGGAACTTTGTCCTGCAGGGCACGCTGTCGGGGGACTTCTCGGCCATCACTCAGGTGCGTCCCGGCAGGCCCACCCCCACGTCCCTGTGACAGGATGTCAGTCGCTGATAACACTCCACACAGAGGAGGTTACTGCTGCGTTTTACACCCGCACAGCCCGCCGTTGCTGCGGGCGTTCCCGCTGGCTCCTGGCTGCGGCTGGGGAGGAAGAGACAGATGAGGTTAACTGTAAACCACACAGCAAGCCGGGCTTGTAGGCCCTGAAAGCTCCCGGCCCAGCGGCGTGGCTCAGTGGTTGAGCGTCGACCTATGAACCAGGAGGTCACGGTTCAGTTTCCAGTCAGGGAACATGCCGGGGTTGCGGGTTCGATCACAAGTGTGGGAAGTGCAGGAGGCAGCCAATCGATGATTCTCTTTCATCAACTGATGTTTCTATCTCTCCCTCTTCCCTCCTCTGAAATCAATAAAACTATATTTTAAAAAAAGAGAATAAAGGAAAGCTCCCGAGCGTTGTCTGTAGTGTTTCAGAGAGCGTGCATTTGTCTTGGTTCTTCAGGGTCACACTGACGAGCTCTGGGGACTGGCCATCCACGCCTCCAAACCCCAGTTCCTGACGTGCGGGCACGACAGACACGCCACTCTCTGGGACGCCGTCGGCCACCGGCCCGTCTGGGACAAGATCATAGAGGTAGATGCGCACGTTGCACCCATCTCCTTTGTAGAAATTCCTCTGGGACGTGTTTATCTGTTTGCATAAAATAGATATAAAATTGTCCCAACGCAAATGTCACTTCATTTACCTTCCATTCAAACTGTGTTGGTTTAAGCGTTCCTCAACGGTCTCACCTGTGACATTGTGAAGGTAGCTGTTGAACTTTTTTTAAAAACATATTTTTATTGATTTCAGGGAGGAAGGGAGAGGGAGAGAGATAGATAGAAACATCAGTGATGAGAGAGAATCGTTAATCAGCCGCCTCCTGCACGCCCCACCCTGGGGATGGAGCCTGCAACCCGGGCATGTGCCCTGACCGGGAATCTAACCAGGACCTCCTGGTTCATAGGTTGACATTCAACCACTGAGCCACACCAGCCAGGCACTGTTGAACTTTCTGACAGCAAGTCCGCCCCTCTGAGTCGGTGGCTGGGTGTCCTGACTGCGCCTGTCCACCGGCTTCGTGCTGAGAAGCCCTTGTTTGAGCCTGCACTCTTCACAGTGTGCCTCTGGAATGAGAATTACCAACTGTCCTAAAAGCGTACTTTCTCTCTACAACTCAGTGATAACGGCAAAGCTTTCATTTTAAAGTTTGCATCTCTGGTTTTTATGGAAGGCCCCAGTTCACACAGCACAGCGCTGACCTGTCCTCCTACACGTAAGGCAGCTGTGACTGCACGTATTGAGCGCCGTTTGCATACCGAGCACCGTGCGTGCATTAATTATACCCTTCACCCTAGTATAGCCCTGCGAGTCGAAGTCTTTTTACCCTGCTCTTGTTGGTTCGGACACTGAAGCGCAGAGGCGTCCCATCGCCTGCCAAGGTCACGGAGTCGGCGACAGAGCCAGTGTTCACCCAGCCCAGCCTGATCCCCACACCCGGGGTCTCCCGCAGCTCCCCTGCTGTGGGCCAAGAGCACACCCTGCAGGGCCCCATGTCAGGGGGGCTCCTCTGTGGCCCCCACGCCCGCAGCCCGCACAGTTGCCAGCTCGCCCCCGTGCGCTGGATCTGAGTCTCAGCCGCCTGCGTTTGGCTTTCAGAGGTCAGGTCGCTGGGAGAGCGGATCGTGGGATGCCAGGACCTGAGGGACGGCCCGGCTGCTCAGAGGAGAGAGTGGTGTGGCCCGAGGTGACAGGGAGGGTCTGCCTTGTACCTGTCCCCACGCAGGGGCTTCACGTATGAAACATACGTGAGGGGTTTGTGCAGATGTGACAACCACCCCCGGCACAGCAGGGACAGCGGCTGTCCGGGAAGGTGGCCCTCCCCGAGGCCCCGGCCAGCACAGTGGCCCTGCTGAAAGCAGTCCAGGCACACACCCACCGCTGCTCCGGGCTGTGAGCTCCCTCCACTGCGCAAGGGTAGGGACTGGCCCGGGCGCCAGAAACATCCATAGCTAAGTCCTGCCGGCTTTCTCCACTGGCCACGTGGCCTTGGACAAGGCCTCCCTGAACCTCGGGGTCTTCATCTCATGAATTACATGCTGGAGCCTCAAGCGGCCGTGACCTCTGTCTGAGCGTCCGCGGCAGCCTGAGCGTCATTGCAGCTCCCGCTTTGGCAAAAGCGTCGCAGTCATAGAGTCAATACCTGCAGAGCTTCCGGTCTCATCTTCTTAGTTTATCCAGAAGTTCCTCCTCCCGATTCCGTTTCCATCGCTGCTCTTTCCTTGTCTTCCCGGGACCAGCCTCTTCTCACCTCAGTTTGTCCAGACACCCCTGCCGGGTGGCCCTCTGTCCGCCACAGATCCGATCACGCACTCCTTTCACCGGGAGAAAAAGACCTCTCACTGTGCTGTTTCCTAGTGACCACAGTCCTTAGCATAGCAACGCAGCCCGTTCCCAGTGTCACCCCACGCTGGACAGGCGCTTACCCCCTGCCTGTCCCCGACTGCTGCGGCTGGGAAAGGGTGTGAGACAGAAAGGGGGAAGTCCTACGTGGGCCTCCCAGGAGAGGAAAGATTTAAGATGGGGCCACACGGCCCTGAGGGACTGGGCTGGGCTGTGTTTTTATGCTGCAGTGCTGTCTGGCCATCAATTTACACTTCCTTTAAAATGTTTTAGGATCCAGCTCAGTCTTCTGGTTTTCATCCTTCAGGGTCTGTGGTTGCAGTTGGAACACTGACTGGGAGGTAAGTCCACAGCAGCGCGCTGTGCTGGGGTTCAGGGAGTGTTCAGGGCGGGGGGGGGGGGCGCGCGGGCGCCAGCACTCTGAGCTGCAACCACAGCCTCTGGTGACTTAGCAGGTTAGGCCAGAACCCCACAGGGAAACAAAGCCGGGTCCTTCACATGTTATCCCTGGAGGAAGCTGGATCTGAGTCTCTCCTGGAGGAGTGCCCACACACATGCACGCACAGGCACACACACACACGCGTGCACATGTACACACTCGTACACACAGGCACACACACACCCTTGCATCCAGTTTCCCAGGATGCGTGGCTCCTGGAGCCCTCTGCTGCCCACGGTGGAGGAACCGCAATTCGGGATCGGGCAGGGAAGAAGTTCACAGCGCTGAGAATTTAAAAATGCTTTTTCTTGCTGCCCTTTCAGAGTTTCAGAAACCGCCCCAGTCCTGAGCCTCATATTCAGACTCAGTCACACTCCCTGACCATGTGCCTCGGGAGGCCAGGCAGTGGAGGGTGCTGGAGCTTCCGCCTCTCCGCTCGGAGAGTGTGGTCGTTCCGCTGTCTGACATTTGCAAGTCCCGTGTCCTTATTTGGGATTCGAATCATTTCTGCGTCCGTTACAACCTGTACTGGCTTAGCACTGGGTCTGCAAGGTGGTTCTGGGCCCAGACCCCCACCTGACAGCTGAGGGCACCAGCCCTCTGCTCGCTCTTCTTCCGTTCCCTCCACCGTTTCCTTCACCCGCTGGCTGCACGCCAGCATCCCGGAGGTCAGACACTCCCCACAGTCAAGCACCTCACACCCCTAAGGGTGTCCCAGCCCCACCTCCGCACCTGCTCTGCCTCACCCTGGGGTGGGGCCACGCAGGGGGTCCCTTTGCCACCTCCTGTGGCCACAACCCCGAGTTAGTGGTCCCACTTCTCCGCCCAGAGCTGTCCCTCCTTGGACATGTAAACGGCAGAACGCAAACCGGAGGAAGCCGTCGTAGCCGTGGTAGCAGAGTCGTTGCTGGCGGTGGGTGTGCTCAGAGGCAGGACCTTCTCTGTCCACAGAAGCTGGGAATAAGCGTTCCTGCCAAGTAAATTCAGAGTGCTTCTCCAGCCCCTGGGTTAAGGTTTCTAATAGTCTTACTGTTACTGAAATCGTCCTGCTTCCCTTCCCACTAAATCGCGTGCTGTGCTTTTCTCATGTTGGCAACAGGTGGTTTGTGTTTGACACGGAAACCAAAGACCTGGTCACCGTGCACACGGACGGGAACGAGCAGCTGTCCGTCATGCGGTACTCGCCAGGTCAGCGCCCGCTCCCGCCCCCGGGGAGTTCTGTGCAGATGCCTTCACAGCGAGTTTCTCACGCCGTCCGTCCGGGATGCTCACTGTGCTCGTGTTGTTTCTAACTCTTTATTATGGAAATTTATAAGCAAACAAAACTGGGCAGAGAGCATAATGATCCCCGTGTACCCGTCAGCTGCTGCAGTGCTACGGACTCAGCCAGCCTCGTTCATCTTTTTCATTAGAACTCCTCTGCCCCCGTGATTTTTTTTTTTAAACAGAACTTTATTTCTCACTCTAAACAACGTTTCTCACAATTTCCCACCTAGAAATGAGTAGGCAGCCCTGGCTGGGTAGCTCAGTTGGTTGGAGTATTGTCCAGTACGCCAAGGTTGTAAGGTTGTGTGTTAGATCCTTAGTCAAGACAAGGGGGAGAGGGAGGGAGGGAGGGAGGGAGGGAGGGAGGGAGGGAGGGAGGGAGGGAGGGAGGGAGGGAGGGAGGGAAAGAGGCCCCATGATATTTTGAAGCAGTTCACAGACATCTTATCCTTTCTTCCGTTAATGCCCCTAAGTCTCAAAAAAGCCAGGACTATTTTAGCAGCTTTATTGATGTACAATTTATAAATGATAATTTACCCATTATAAACGTATAACTCACTGATTCTTGGTGAATTAGTAGGGTTGTGCAGTCATTACCACAATCCAATTTTTGAACCTTTTCAGCACCCCCAAAAGTCCCCTTCCTGCCCATTAGCAGGTAATCTCTGCCTCCACCCCTATTCTGGGCACCCTCTAATGCACTGTGCTGACCTGTGAATGGCCTGTTCAGGACATTTCCTATCAGTGGATTCATACAACATGGAGCCTGTTACATCAACTTCTTTTTAGAATAATGTTTTTAGATTAGTTTGTGTTGTTGTGCTTGTATCAGTACTTTATTCCTTTCTTTAACTGAATTTTGGGGGTAGCATTGGTTAATAACATTATAGGTTTCAGGTGCTCAATTCCATAGTATAATACATCAACTATACATTGTGTAGTTCACCACTCTAAGTCAAGTTCCCTTCCATCACCATTTATCCTTCCTGTATATTCCTTTTTAATTACTGGATAGTATTCCATTTTGTGGATATACCACATTTTCTTTACCATTTATCAGTTAACAGACACTGGGATTGTTTCTGTGTTGGGTTATTAGGAGTAACGCTGCTAGGAACAGTCATGATATATACCTTTTGTAGACATTTGTTTTCATTTATCTAGAGTGAGTTCCTTTAACATCTGAGTTTCATCAGATGTTAAACGTAAATCTACCCTATGATCCACCAATTGTGGATCAATTATGATCATAAGGTAGATATACGTTTAACATCTGATGAAAATGCTTCCCAAGGTGGCTGCCCCATTTTACATTCCCACCAACACTGTGTCAGGGATCTAGTCTCTCCATATCCTCACCAACACCTAATAGAGGTTTAGTAGTTTCTCACGTGGTTTTAAGTTACATTTCCATAAAGTCTGTCACAGAGGTTAAGCATCTCTTCATGTATCTACCAGTCATTTCTGTATCTTCATTGATGAATATCTATCCAAACATTTTGCCCATTTTTAATTGGGTTGCTTGTCTTACTACTGAGTTGTAAGAACTCTTTCTATATTCTGTCTATGAGTTCTTTATCAGATATATGATTTGCAAATGTTTTCTCTCGGTGTATGGCTTGTCTTGTCATTTTCTTAATGGGGTCTTTTAAAGCAGATGCTTTAATTTTGATGAGGTCCAGTTTATCCATTTTATTCTTTTATATGGATCTTGCTTATGGTGTCATAGTCAAAAGTCACCAAGATTTTCTCCTGTGCTTCCTTTTAGAAAGGTTATTGTTTTAGCCATTATATGTAGGTCTGTGATTCATTTTGAGTAAATGCTTGTGTCTGTGAGAAGTCAGTCTAAGTTTGTTTATTCTGCATGTAGATAACCACTTGTTCCAGCACCATTTGTTGAAAATACAATTCTGTCCCAAATGGATTATCTTGGCACTTTTGTCAAAAGTCCATTAACATGCCCTAGCCAATTTGGCTCAGTGGATAAGAGTGTCAGCATGCAGACTGAAGAGTCCTGGATTCAGTTCTGGTCAAGGGCACATATTTTGGTTGCTGGCTCAATCCCATGTGAGAGGCAATTAATTGATGTATCTCTCTCACATCGATGTTTCTCTCTGTGTGTCTCTCTCCCTCTCTCTTCTCTCTCTAAAAAACAATGGCAAGCCGAAACCAGTTTGGCTCAGCGGTAGAGCGTCGGTCTTCGAACTGAAAGGTCCCAGGTTCGATTCTGGTCAAGAGCATGTACATTGGTTGCAGGCACATCCCTGGTAGGGGGTGTGCAAGAGGCAGCTGGTTGTTGTTTCTCTCTCATCATCGACATTTCTAGCTCTCTATCTCTCTCCCTTTCTCTCTGAAAAAAATCAATAAAATACATTTAAAAAAATAAAAAATAAAAAACAATGGAAAAATATCCTCAGGTGAGGATTAACAACAACAAAAATCCATTAGTAATAAATATAAAGGTTTATTTCAAGATTCTCAGTTCTTTCATTCATTTATATAACTATCTATATACCAATACCACACAATTTTGATTACTGTACTTTTGGAGTAAGTTGTGAAATTGAATAGTGTAATTACTACAATTCTGTTGTTCTTTTTCAAAATTGTTTTAGTTCTTTTAGGTCCTTATTTTAGAATCAACTTGTCTAGTTCTAATTTTAAAAAGCCTACCATGATTTTAATATGTTGAACTTATAGATCAATATGGGGATAATTGCTGTCTTTACAAGACTGAGTCTTATAATCCTTGAACTTAGAATGTCTCTCCATTTATTTAGATCTTTAATTTTTATCAGCAATGTTTTATAGTTTTCAGTGCACAAGTCTCATACTTCCGTTGTTAAATTTGTTCCTAATTGCTTTTTATGCCATTGTGAATGAAGATGTTTTTTATTTTGTTTTCAGAATGTAGTTTGCTAGTATAGAGGAATAAAAATTTTTTGTACATGGATCTTATACCTGTGACCTTTCTAAACTCTTTTATTTATTTTAGTGGTATTTTTGTGTGTAAAATTCTTGAACTTTTTTTCATATGGGAGCATGTCATCGCAAATGATGACAGTTTTACTCATATTTTTTAATCTGGGGGCCTTTATTTTTTTCTTGTTGCATTTTCTAGAACCCCGAACAGAAGTGGCAAAGTGGGTCCTTGCCTTGCTCCCAGTATTAGGGTGAAAATAGTCATTTATTGTTTAGTAGGATGAGGAAGTTCCCTTCTATGGCTAACCTGTTTAGTTTTTATTATGAATGAGTGTTAGAATTTACCAAATGCTTTTTCTGTATCTATCAAGCTGATCATGTGGGTTTTGTTCTTTATTTTATTAATATGGCGCATTACATTAATTTTCAGACGTTAGGCCATCTTTGCATTCCTGGGATAAATCTCATGTGGTCATGGTGTCTAATCCTTTGTATATTTTTCTGGATTCTGCTTAATCTTCTGTTAAGAATTTTTGCATCCATGTTTATGAAGGATATTGGTCTGAAGTTTTCTTGTGATGGTTTTGTCTGACTTAATTATGAGACTACTATTGGCCTATAGAGGAACTTGAAAAATGTTTCTTCTTTGTTTGTTTTCTGAGAGTTTATAAAAAAAAAAAACAAAAAACTGGTGTTATTTCCTTATTAAGTATTTGATAGAATTCATGTGAATTCAATGAGCTACCAGGGATTTTCTTTGTAGGAAGGTTTTTCATTTCTAATTCAATTTCTCAGCTTATAGATCTACTCAAATGTTTTGATTTTTTTTCTTAAGTCAGTGTTTATTTTTCCATCTAAGGTGTCTAATTTATTGGCATAAAGTTGTTCATAACATGTTTTTAATCCTTTTCATTTTTCTAAAGTTGATAGTGAAGTCTCTTCTTGATTCTGCTAACTTGTGTTTTCTCTCCTTTTCTCTTGGTCAATCTAGTTAAAGATTTGTCAACTTTGTTTATCTTTTCAAATAAGCAGGTGGAGGGGGGCGGTGTGCAGAGATGAGGCGGGCAGGGGGGAGGTGGTGTCCAGAGGCCTGAGAGAACCTGCAATGAGTGACTACATCCTGGAGGGCCTGTGGGCCTCACCTACAAACTGAGCCTCAGTCCCTTCATTTCTGAGTGGGGAAGGGTTGTATAAGGAGAGGAACCGGCCAGGGGCAGTTTCCAAGAGGTAGTTCTAGAAGTGGTAGGGGAGCCATTCAAGTGCATGTTGTCTTTTTTAAATAACTCGTTAATTGGGCTGTTTTCTAAATCTGTGACTGCAACTAGTATTACCCCTTATAATTGATCAAGTGTTTATTTTTCATAATTGAATTATAATCTGTCCTCTCTTTGTAGATGGGAATTTCTTGGCCATAGGCTCCCATGACAACTGTATCTATATATACGGAGTCAGTGACAACGGGAGGAAGTACACACGAGTCGGCAAATGCTCGGTAAGCCCTCTTATTTCTCATGCATGTGCCGGTGGTCATTACTTGTTGGCCAGGAGTGTTTATAAGGCAAGGGAGCCTCACACAACGCATTTCTCTCCCAGGGTCATTCCAGCTTCATCACGCACTTGGACTGGTCTGTAAACTCCCAGTTCCTCGTGTCAAACTCCGGAGACTACGAAATCCTTTACTGTGAGTAGCACCCAGGGTTAGTTTCCTCTGAGACCAAAGGCGACTTCCCACAGACACCCACTGGCCGCACTCTCAGGCCGCGGCTGTGTCCTCTGTGAGACAGAGGGTGGGCTGGGCACCTCGCAAGTCCTTTCCAACGCAGAGACACCTGAGACCGGGCCGACCCCGGCCCTGGTGAGGCGATGGGGGCCCTGAGAAGGAGAGGGCCAGCTCTGCAGAGAGAGTCTGGAGGGGGCCGATGTGGCCGAAGAGCGTGGGGTCAGAGCCGTCACAGGGAGAGGGACCCCGTGGGGACGTCACCCCCTGAGACAGACCATAAAGGCTCTCCCGGCTGGGTGACAGCAGTCCCGTGGGGCCCCTCCTCCTCCTCTCCCAAGCCCTCCGTGCCCAGGCAGGACCTGGGAGCGGTGAGCGTCCTGAGGGCTGGCACTTACCGAGCACATGGTGCGCGCCGGGCTCTGCTTCTGCAAACACTTGCCAAGCACTTGCCACATGCCCAGCTCTGACTCAACACGGGTCACAGAGCATGAGGGCCTGGAAGGTTCCAAAAAGTGTGCTGCTCTGACCTCCATCTCCTCCAGGAGCCACAGCCCTTCAGGCTCATCCCCTTAAGTAGAAAGGAAATCGGGGCCCATACACGAGGCCACAGGCATCGAGAGCCAGTGGGTGGCGGGGGGTGGGGGGAGGGGGTGACCGCCCAATTGTTGACGAGCCCGGACAGGCAGGGCAGCTGGAGGTGGAGGAAAGGAGAGATACCTGGGCCAGGACCACGCCCCCTCCAGCAGGGCGGGCAGCCAGGGTCAGCCCTTTCGCCCTCTCCACGGTCCTGCCTGATGCGGGACAGAAACGGGGAGGTTTTCAGAGGCAGGCCCTGGGTCTAGTCTCTTGTCAGACACAGTCTCACACTTCACTGGTGAGAGCTCACGTAGGGAACAATCCACTTTGTAGATGGGAATTCCTTAGCAATAGGCTCCCATGACAACTGGGAGGCCACAGGTGGTTGGCCGACCCATTTCCATAAGCTTGGAGTTAAAGGGATTGTGTGTGTGTGTGTGTGTGATCATGTATGTGTTCAGGGCTCCAGGGAGGACAAGCAGATGGAGGCCTAGGAGCCAGCGGATGGTCAAAGAAAAAAGAAGCCAGCTGGGGGGACAGGCCCAGAGGGGGAGGTGGGCTGGGCTCAGTGCCGGCCAGGAGAGCCATTCCGCCGGGCTGGGAGTGGAGGGGGCCTGCCTCCCCCCGAAGGAGAGGGGGCTGTTGCTCAGCTGTCACCACACCCGCGCGTGCGTGCTTCTTCCAGGGGTTCCCTCTGCATGTAAGCAAGTCGTCAGCGTGGAAACCACACGGGACATCGAGTGGGCTACGTACACCTGCACTCTGGGATTCCACGTCTTTGGTGAGTCCCGCAGCTTTCTCGCAGCTCAGACATAAGTGTGTCCGCTGTCAGAACATCCCTGACGGTCAGGAAGGCTCGGAGCCGCCGGTCCCGTCAGCGCGCTGTGCGCTGCGGGAGCCCCGCGGGACCAGTCCCCGCAGCGCCGGGAAGGGCCGGGCGAGAGGAGCCAGCAGGGCCCGGCGTCCGCCCTCTCCTGGTGTGTGAAGCGGGTCCTGGGATGCGTCTCTGGCATCTTCTCACGTGTGCTGTGCCCGAGTTGCTGGCGAGATGGAGCAGGTGGCACTCAGCCAGTTCACTCCTCCTTTGCTAGTTATTACCCCATCTTCTTGGTCCTTAAACTCGAATTTTCACTTCTAAGTTTAGATGAGGAACATATTCATAAATGCCCTAAATTAAATTGCCACAATGCAGTAGGGGGGGAAAGCCGTATTTATAACCTCTTTCTGTAAGGTCAATCATTTGGTCAGAATTTCACACATCTCCTTAGAGCTGGCATTTTACCATTTTCTGGTATTAAAGGCGAGGACCCCCGGGTTTACCGCAGAACTTGCAGCTGAGAAAACGGGTGCACACACAGCTCTCTCAGAGCCGAAGTGACCGGGACCAAAGGGGTTTCCTGGAGCAATGGTCGGGAGATGCCACCCCACACCAGGCTTCATGCCCACCAGAGCCAGAGCTGCTGCTGCCCAGGCCCATGGCAGGCAGACACTACACCTGCCCGGTGTCAGAAGCAAGCAGCAGCCACAAAGAGCTGACCACAAGAAATGTCCGAAAGGCACACTCCGACTGGGTTAAAAAAGTTCTTGGGCCGAAACCGGTTTGGCTCAGTGGTAGAGCGTCGGTCTGCAGACTGAAAGGTCCCAGGTTCGATTCCAGTCAAGGGCATGTACATTGGTTTCGGGCACATCCCAGGTAGGGGGTGTGCAGGAGGCAGCTGGTCGATGTTTCTCTCTCATCGACGTTTCTAGCTCTCTATCCCTCTCTCCTCCTCTCTGTAAAAAAATCAATAAAATATATATATTTTTTTAAAAAGTTCTTGGGAGGGACTTTCACAAGTAAAGAGCCACCTCGAAAAAAGAAAAGTTAGGAAACTGCATGCATGGGGACTAGTCAGCTTCCCATCTGCCTCTTTGGGACAAAAGAAAGGCAATGTGTCCTGAAGCAGGGTTTCTGGTACACTTTGTGCTGCATTGTCAAGAAGCCACCCCCCTCCTCCAAAAAAGGGACAAAAAAGAAGGGGCCCCCCAAAGGTGGGAGCCCAGCGAGCCTGTCCTGCCACGGAGCGGGCTGAGCTTGAAGGGGGTCCTGGGAGGCCTGGGGTGAGCCGATCGTGGGAACCGTGAGAGGCTGGACGGACAGAGTGCTCTCTGGGCCCTGGTCTGAGCCCGGGGCGCGGGCGATGTTACTTTGGCGAGAGTGGAAAGCGGTCCCCACGCAGAGTGGCCAGTGTCCCTGGCGTTCCCAATGCTGCCTGTGGTCTTTGTCTTAGGAGTGTGGCCAGAGGGCTCGGACGGGACAGACATCAATGCCGTCTGTCGGGCCCACGAGAAAAAAGTCCTGTCGACGGGCGATGACTTCGGCAAAGTGCACCTCTTCTCTTACCCTTGTTCGCAGTTCCGGGTAAGGACCGTCTTCACAGATCTCACCTCGTGGGGTGCGTTTGGCCCTTAGACAGAAAGGCCCATGAGTGAATGTCCCCTGTCACAGTGCAGCCCTGACCCTGTCGCCCGCTGCCCTGGAGCACCTCAGGGGCTCCCCCTGCCCTCCGGGAAGCCCTGAGACCTGGCCCCGCTTCCTCTGTGGCCTCCTTCGTGGGCCCCTCTTCTCTCCCTCCATACGGCCCCTCTGCTGCAGCCCTGCCGTGCCAAGCCAGCACCTCTGCCTAGCACGCCGCTCCGGCCCTTCCCTTCCCTTCCCCGACCCTCCTTCAGCAGGACACCCCTCTCCCTCCACCCCTGGCATCTCTGGGATTGAATAATCCGCCCTGTCTGTTCCCCACTGGTTGTGCCTGGGTCCCACCTGAGATGTGCTGAGCACGGCATAGACCTGCACAGCCGAGTGAGGGGAGATGCAGGAACATGGGAATGCGGGCAGAATCCCCACACCTTCCGCTCCAGTTCCTGAGCTTTGCCTTGAGCTCCCTCCCCGTCTTCCTCCCAGGCCCCCAGCCACGTGTACAGCGGGCACAGCAGCCACGTCACCAACGTCGACTTCCTCTGCGACGACAGCCACCTCATCTCCACGGGCGGCAAGGACACCAGCATCATGCAGTGGCGGGTCATCTAGTGCCGGCGGGGACGGCCCCAGGCGCAGGCTCGGCCGCCCGCTCACTGTGATTTCAGTTGTTGGGAGTTCTCACACACCTCAGGAAAACCGCTCCCCGTACCGGTTACCTTAGCGTAGCGGCTCAGTGAGCGCCACGTCGGATCAGCAGTTCAGGTTTCTCCGTCGTACAATCTATCACACACCCTTAATGTAAAGAAAGAAGACAAAAAAAAAAGCCAAGGTTTACAGCACGGCGGCATCAACAGGCTAACTGGTCTGTCCTTCCTACCTTTTCTATGAACTCTTCGAAACGGTCACAGAATGCCTTTTCAGATCCTGTGCGTAGGCCGGCTCGGTCGCCGAGGAGCCTGCGAGGCCAGGTATTTATGAGAACGAGGTGCTGCATCCCGATCACTGTTGACTGATCTTGGAGGGACTCTCGGATTGAGTAGAGGGAAGAACCGGCTGCACAGCTGAGTCAGGAAACGCAGCTACGACTGTATTTGGTTCCATTGTCTACGGTTCCGTTCAGCTCTCCCTCTGGGAGGCGGGCGGGAAGGGGCTGATGAACGGTTCAGCTGGGGAGACAGGCATCTCGGAGTTGCAGCCAGACTGCCCACTGAGCCCCATGCAGTCAGCCCTGACACCCTCGGGAATGCCCGCCCCCCGTGGACCCCGTCCACCTGCCCCACGAGTGGAGACACGTGGTCACCTTCCTCTGTATATTAATTGGCATGATACGGTATTGTACGTGTATAGGATTTTAGCGACTCAAAATAAAGACGTAAGGCTAGGCTTTACTATTTTATGCTTATGGACACTGTATATTTGTATTTTAAGACCAAGTAGACCAAGTCAAAGAGACACCACCGACCTGCAGCGGGGGGCCTGGGCGGCTCGGCGGGGTACCCCGGGCGGCTGTTCCCTGCCTTCTGGGCCTGGCCGGCTCGCCGGGCGACGGGAGGAGACTGCGTTCCGATGGGAAAAACGCAGGCGCCGTCCGTTTGTCCAGAAGGCCTTATCCCTTTCGATGGCGAGGTAGACTGAAGTGTCTTGTTTACATTGGGGAATGTATCTCAGATTTTAAACTAGAGGAGTGATAAGCAGACTTTAAACACAGATGTTAAGGTGTTTACTTGTTCCAGGCAAGTAAATGAGCTGAGCGGCCCGGCCCGGCCCCGGCTGTTCCGCCAGCCAATGGGGCGCGGCCCTGCGATGACGGACAGCTCGCGGCTGCCGCGCACAGGGCACCGTGAACGTGTGTTAAAGGTGAATCTGTCTGTATGTATCCTTATCAAATATATTCTGTAATGAAATAAAGTCTGAAAAGTGGATTTCTTATTGACCTATAATTATGAAAGTATATAAATTAAAATATTTAAAATTAGCTGTGATTCACACTATATTCTGTTTCATATATAGATATTTTTCCTCACCTAGAGACTATAATTTGCATATGGTGTGTAAATAATCATTCTCAAATGAACAATTGAGAGGATAACCCTATCAGGGAAGGAAAAGGGAAACATTATCTACATATATAAAAGCCTAAGTGACTGTCCAACTGTTCTCCTAGTAGCTATGACGTTCAATGACCACAAGAGGGCAGATGCTCTGACTAGTAGAGGAGGGAGCCCAATTCCTTGCAGAATTGGCCGTGGGTTAGGTTGCGGCTGGGACACTGTCAGCCCCAAATCTGCTTTACCCGTACCCAGGGCCCATCAGGCGATGTCAGAGGCCTGGTGCACAGGTTTGTGCACCAGTCCCTGGGCCTGGCCTGTGCCCTCTCACAATCTGGGACCCCTCGGGGGATGTTGGAAAGCCAGTTTCAGCTCAATCCCTATAGGCCAGGCCAAGGGACCCCACCGGTGCACAAATCCATGCACCAGTCTTCTAGTTTACTTATAAGATCTATTTTTATTTCTGTATACTTTCATTATTTTTTAAACTCAATAATAGAAAAAAGGTATTGTAAACCATTATTGCTACCTCCCTACTTGCGTGCATTTTTTAAAATATATTTTATTGATTTTTTTTTTTTTTTTTTTTACAGAGAGAAGGAGAGAGGGATAGAGAGCTAGAAACATCAATGAGAGAGAATCATCGACCAGCTGCCTCTTGCACACCCCCTACCAGGGATGTGCCCGCAACCAATGTACATGCCCTTGACCGGAATCGAACCTGGGACCTTTCAGTCCGCAGACCAACGCTCTACCACTGAGCTAAACCAGTTTTGGTTACGTGCATTTAAATGAAATCTTTAAACAGCCCAGGATTAGCCTTGTAGGTATTCATCACTCACTCACTCCCTCATTAGCATAGCAAGCAATGGCCCTGGCCACTCGGGGAGGGACCGGGCAGCAGGTGATGTGAAAGCATTTTCAAAAATGCAGTTTGCAGAGATGGAAAAGGAGAGGATTTTCCCTGTCCTGGCATGTTCCCTCCTCCGTGTCTCCTTCCCAGACCGAGGCAACACCTGAACTCCCAGCAGAGTTTGGGAGAACACAGGTGCTCAGGGCAGCCATTGGGGGGAGGTTGGGAAGGTGCAGGGTCCAGGATGGCAGCCAAGCAGCTACCACAGTCTCACCTCCCTCCAAATCCCCCAGGTACTCTCCCAACCCCACAGAAGGATGTTTATCTGAACGCCTTGTAGAACGGTGGAGCTGCAGGGGAACTTGGGGAAGTGTTTCCCAAAGTGTGTTCCTTGGAACACCATTCCACAGGGTGTTAATAGACCTTGTGTTTGACAGTTAAACAGGTTTGATCAGGGCTTTATCTATCTATCTATTTATTTATTTATTTATTTATTTATTTTTCTGGATGGATCTTCTCAGAATTTGTGACCACCCCCCTTCCCCCCCCCCACCCAGAGTTCCCAAAGCCTGGCTAGTGACAGTCTTTCCTTCCTGGGACCTCTCTGAAGGCAGGGTCACCAGAAACACACATTGAGAAACCTTTTCTTTAGCCCCCTCTTCCTATAGATGCACAAACTAAAGCCCTCGGAGAGCAAGGATTTGCCCTGGTGACCTTGGCAGGGGCAGCCCCTAGCCATCCTCATTGGTTTCTTTTTATAAAATGAAGCTTACTTGACTTATTCATGAAAAAGCTAACCTACACCCATTCTGGCAGAGTCAGAGGGAAGCCTCTGGGCCACCACTACCCAGAAATAGCACCACTTCTCCCAGGCCTCTCTCCCTGCACGGTTCCCTACGCGAACATCTTTGGGTGTGTTTCCACAGTTGGCATATTGCATAGACAATGCTTCATGTCGCTTTTTCCGTATCATTTATAAGCAATGTTCCATGTCATTATAACCTCGTTATAAATAACTCCTGTTAGCAGCCTAACAGGCGGCTGTGATTAATATGGTGGCTCCTTGTCCCGGCCTCTCACGGGGATCATCCTGGCAAGAAGCATCACAGCGGCCACGCCTATGGGGGCATTGGTCCTCCGTGTGCTCTCCCCAGCTCTTCCCGCCAGCCTGGAGGCAGCTCCACTCTTTCCCGCGAAAAATTAGACCCTTCCCTGTCTGTCGCTTAGCCCTCTGTGCGCTGCAGGCCTCTCAAAGGCCCACATCCCTGTGTTTGGCTCGGCCTCCTTAGCTTCACCCCTGCTGTCCTCCTGGTACCTCCGTCTCAGGCCCCAAACCACTGCGCCCACCTCTCCCCCCACATCTGCACTCGTTCCTCCCGGGTGCCCATCCAGCACTGTGGGCACCCGTCCCACCCTCTCTCTGCCCCTATCAACGGCTGCCAGTAACTGACCGGAATAGCAGCAGTGACCCCAGGCGGCACCATGAGTGTCTGACACACGGCAGCTCCTCGGTCCTCTCCACAAGCCTGTGAGACGGCTTCTGACCGTGACTCTGAACTTCGAGGGGCCACACAGCGAGGAAGCTGGATGGGAGCCTGAGGAGTTGGGTGCTGAGTTCTCACGAACCACAGCACCATTCTACCTCACTGTCGCCTGCATCTACATGGGCTCCCTCCCCCTCCCATCTCGCTGGCCGCTGTCACAGCTGGCCTGTCTGCACGGGCCTCGCTGGCAGTGAGTGAGCTTTCCAACTATGTCCCTCTCTTGGTTAAAGCCCTACGGTGGCTCTCAGGGAACACTCCTCACGTGGCGCACAGGGCCTGTTCGGTGGGCTGTGTCCCTGCAGCACCGGCTCTGTTCCCGCTGCCGAGCTGTCTGTCCCGACACTCAGCCCGCTCTCTGCCACCCCGCAGTCTCCCCACGCGCTCTGTCCTAACACTCTTCCTCCCGTGTCTCCTTGCCAGCCACCACGACATGCATAGCCCAGCTGAAAAGTCGCTTCCTCCAGGAAGCCTTCCTTGAGTACCTAACCGTGAGTTCCGGTCCCTCTTTTGTGTCCTGCTCATTGAGCTTCCCTGATCCCATTGAATTGTAAGCGCTGTGTAGCCCTCATGTCCCTAAGCTCCCTGAGGCATGGATGCTCTGCCTCCCGCACTTCGCACAGGACCAGGTGTGGACAGGTGGTCAGAAGGTAGGTGTTGTGTGGACGAGAATGAATGAATGAATGAATGAATGAGAGAGAGATTCCTAAACCTTCGTCCTCAACCCTGAGTATTTCTTCCTGCTTCACTGTTTCACCTTTGCCCACAACATTGCTGAGAACAGCTTTGCCCGTTGAGCTTTCCCCCATTCCCACCCCCTACCCCCCTGCCCCGGACAGAATGGAAGGGAAGGAGAAGGTGGGGAGAGAGACAGAAACACCAGCGTGAGAGAGACACATAGATTGGTTGTCTCCCACACACAGCCAGCACCCCAATCAGGGCCAGGGATCGAAGCTGCAATCCTTCGGTCTGCTGACCAACCACCTAGGGCCATGCTCAGCAACCACGGCTCACGAGCCACATGCGGCTCTTTGGCCTGTTGAGTGTGGCTCTTCCACAAAATACCACGTGTGGGCGCACACGTACAGTGCGATTGAAACTTCGTGGCCAATACGCAGAAGTCGGTTTTCGGCTCTCAAAAGAAAGTCAATCGTTGTACTGTTGATATTTGGCTCTGTTGACGAATGAGTTTGCCCACCACTGGGTTAGCTTGTTTCATCTTTAAAGCAATGTGACTAACTTCTGCAGGGTCATTGCTATGATTAAATGAGTAAATGTGTTTAGGGGGCATTCATACATTTTACCAGTGTACCTGCCAGGGTCCTGGTAGGAGTCAGACAGCACATTAACCAGGGTAGTCTGGGGAGGGTTTAATAAATGTCTACAGGTGTTTACCAAGGTGTGGGCAGAATGTAAGGGTAAAGGACAAGGGATGTTGCAGTGCTGTGGGGCTACTGCCCACTAAAGGAGTTAGGGGGAGCCGTTTACAGAATCCTGAAAGGGGGGCTGCGTGGTGCCACTCCGCAGGAGCTGTGGCCCTCTTAGGAGGATACAGCTGGCCAGTGGTCGGCAAACTCATTAGTCATCAGAGCCAAATATCAACAGTGCAATGATTGAAATTTCTTTTGAGAGCCACATTTTTTAAACTTAAACTTCTTCTAACGCCACTTCTTCAACATAGACTCTCCCAGGCCGTGGTAATTTGTGGTAGTTTGTGGTAGTTTGCCAACCACTGACCTAGCCAATGGGCTTTTTATTTTTTTATTTGTTTAAGTAAGCTTTACTTCAGGGCCAGTGGACGGGCTGAACTGAACACAAGATTCTCTTTCTGCCCCCTGACACATTTTGCAAAAATAAATTCCAAAACGATGGTAGCAGTTTGGGAGCCTTCTCCCTTTTTTAGCAGATGAATCCCTTTTCCCTTTGTCAGTGTCTTCCTGCCGGAAGCTGCTCGGAGCTATTTTTGCCTGGCGGCTGCGAACCTCATCAGTCTCCGAGGGGAGCGGGGTGTGTGCGGAAGCCGTCCCCGCCTCCCCGCCCTCAGCCCTGCGCACTAGCCTAGTTCTAGGTCGTTTGGGAAAAGCAAGTTTAAATGGTGTTCCAAATTAAGCAGTGGTTTTGTAAAAGGAGAAAAGCTTATACATTGCCAACTTCTTCCAAACGTTCACAGACCAGGAAGTCATCAAGGCAGACCCCACGAGAACGGTGGCAGGTGAATGTTATGAAAAGATGAGAGGGAGCTGAAACCGGTTTGGCTCAGTGGATAGAGCACATGTGTCAAACACAAGGCCCGCGGGCCAAATCCGTCCCGCCAGGCCTTGCAATGTGGCCCGCACCGCGCTGTCATCACTGCACTCCGCTGCGTTTCCATCACAATGACAGTTTATGACTATTCAGTAAACCATTCGGCCTGCGATTTAGGCTGGATTTTAGACTTTGGCCCCTTCTCTGATTGAGTTCGACACCCCTAGGATAGAGCATCGGCCTGTGGACTGAAAGGTCCCAGGTTCGATTCCGGTCAAGGGCATGTACC